CCTGCTTGGCCCGACCTGGGCTGTTGTAGAGCCTGTTTGTAACCTCGCGGTTACGGGCACCCGTTCGCGTCGCTTCTATAATAGCGAGGTATAAGAATATACCTCGCTCGTTCCGGAAAGTGTAATCAGTTCTTGATTTGTGCGTTTCTGCAGTTTCTTCGTTGTCTTATCAGATTGCCGAGGATTACGATACAGCAATCGTAAATAAATTGCATGCGTAAACCATAGCTGTGCACGTTTCATAATACCTCACAATGCAGACGAAGAAACGTGATTGTAAACCAATAACGTCAAAATATACAAAACAAATGAAATCAAAGAAAATCGCATTATGAATAATTTATTAGTGCTCACCATTTTTCAAACGTAAACTCAACGGTGAAAACTCTTATTATTGCTAATGTACCACGATTATCATCGCGGTACATAATTTTACGTTTTGTTAACCGATACTTTTTGTCCCACATTCATTCTTCATAAACTTTTCGCCGCCTTTCTCCCCGCGTCCCTCCCTCTTTCTCTATACTTTTCTTTTTATAAAGCTTTCTCGGACCCTCGCTTCCGTCTCGCGCAACATTCTTTTCTCCGTGACTGATGGCCGACGATGATGAAGCGACTTGGAAATTTGTACGACGTCGCTTCCTCAGCATGACGCGGCCGATTCACGTAGCGAGGATCGAAAGCATTTCCCTTCGACACGCTCGCGTTTCCACCGCACCACCGGCGCGATTTTATTTTCCATTTGCCTGGAAAGAGCATTTGCGCAGCAAAGCATGTAAAAGCATGTGATCATACAATTCTATAAGAGCAATAAAAAGAACGGCGTGGCTTCTTCAAGATGTGCTCCTTTTTTTGGTCTTCTCAATGAATCTTCTCGACTCAGATAAGATATTTTTATTCAAACGCGTAGTATGTAAATTGGCTTTAAACGCGTTAGCTCGTACAACGGCCACCGGGCGCGGCGCGAGTGGAAGAGAGCATATTTCTTCTTCCTAGATACACACCGGCGAATTGCGACTTGCGAGCATTAGACTACGCGCATCCGAGACTTAATGCTCCTTTCCTCCTCGGGAGAATCGGTAGAGGAGCGTCCTGCGATTTTCACGATTCATTCCACGTCCGCGAACGTCTTAGAACAGCGAAAGGCTTTTTACTCCCGCCGGTAGCTCTCGAATTTGCAATATTTCTCTGGATTACGCGGCCAAGTCGAGCGCGCCAGGACGAGCGCGAGATGAAGATTGCTTACCTCTGGAGCGGATTTGGTCTTCAATGAGAGATAAAAGAAGAAATAAAGAAAGAAAGGAAGGGAGGAAACTGGTTAAGCGTAACAACCATCCGGCAGCCATCGCGAGTTATTATTTCCAAGAAAATATTTGACATTTGAGCTAAATAAAAAAGGTCCTGTCTCATTTCGTGAAGCTACATTAATTGAGGGAAGACCTTTTTAATAACGCAACTTTTGCACAGAACTTTTATACGCTGTTGGACATTATTTATAGAAAATTTTTTTCTTAATTAAATGCAGCAATTGTCAAGGTTTAAAATACTGTAGAATAAAAATATTATACTGAACCTTATGTAATTTTACAGTAATAATTATAATTACTATAATACTCTAATATATGTGTAATAATATTAACTTAATGCTCTAAAAAGCGTTATTTAAAAAGTAGAATTAATTCTCTCACGCATGAATTGCCTTTTTAAAAAGTTATTCTATACATACCTATATCCTAAATACGCAAATAAAAATGTCTGAAAATATGACGGCCAGAAGTGAATTATAGGTCTTCTGGGAGGGAATTTAAAAATAAACTAATATCGGGACGCACGCGAATGTGACACCGAAGGCGTTTGAAGTCCACCGATTTGGAACTTGAAAGCGAATCTCGAGTGTCAGCCATTATCGACGTTGGAGGACGTTGAACGTGTTTCCACGGGGCGATATAGTCCCGATGCTTTAAAACGCGTACTTCCCCCTCCCCCTCCCCCGTCGGTCGAATCGATGACGCGATCTACTTGGGCAACGAAGAGAGAAGCGGCCGAGTCTCCTTGAAGACGAGAGAGTCAGCAAATTGGCGAATTGGGCCGACAGCATGCGGGCCGTTGTTTGAGTGGAAACCACGTGTCTGTTCCCCCGCGTGTGTGTTTGTGTGTGTGTAGAAGCCTCCTAATAGCTTCGGACGCTGCAAGGATGCAGTAGGTGTGACACATTAATCAGTAGCAGCGTTCATCGAGGTTGGGCCTCAGCCATCCGTGCAGGAGCTGAATTCTGAGATGTACAACGTGTCTCTCGCTTAGGTGTTGCGCACTTCCCGTGATTGCGGAACGTTGCGGAACAAATAGAAAAGAATACCGCCCGTTCCGGAGCATTCCGGGATATTGGTACCTTTTAAGCTACGTGCGATTGAAGAGCCTAAAGAATTACAGTACGTGAACATTGAACGTGGCGTTTCGCGAGTAAAGCGACTGCGAACACATTTTTTATTTTTTTTTTTTTATTGTTTAATTTCAAATGAACATTACGTGTGTATCTTAACAGGAGCTTAATTTTTAATTATTACTATATACTATAGTAATAATAGTGATATAGAATATATTGAAGAGACGTGTGAAAAAGGAGGACGTCTTATTTCTAAGCTAAGAGCTTGAACTTTTCAAAGGAATTTATAATCGTGAAGAAATGCGCAATGTCTGCCGCACCGTACATAGCGCCAAATTTCCCATCTCGCTGAAATTTCAAGAGGATCACTTCGTTCTTCTTGGATCGGCACCATTATGAATTTCCGTTTGGGTGTTTGCGGGATTCCGCGCGTGGCATCCTTGGCATCAGCCTGGTAAACGCACGAAATGCATCTTCGATCTAGCAGTGGTCTCGATTATCTATACGATTGCGTACATATTTTCGCTCTTGCGTAAATAATTTTCGCTCTTTCGCTCAAAAGAAGAATTTCTTTAATTTTTATTTAGTACATAATTTGCTGAAGTTGCTGTATGTGCAATATTTGAGAGCCGGTTTAAGTATATGACAATAAAATTAATATTTTGCGTTGAAAAATAAGATATAAAGATAAAAGAAATAATTTATATAAAAATTGTATGTACAAGGGTGAGTCAAAAATTATCCGCACTTTTGTTTCCACAATTTTTTCTATAAAAGTAGGGGTTCAACAAGTACATCATTTTTCTCCATAGTCTCCTTGCTTTTCAATGCACTTAGTCCAGCAAGCTTCTGTATTCCTTTCAGGAAAAAAGTTTTTGGTTGGTCGCGCAGCCATTTATGCACCGCTTCCTGTATCCCGATTCTGTAACTCTCAACGACAATTCGGTATCGTTATATTATCGTTGCGCAGCTTTTTTACCATACAAAATATCTGCGCAACGACAGTATAACGATATCGACACTGTCGTTATCCCTATCACTTCATTATCGGTACTCAGGAAGCGGTGGATAAATGGCTGCGCGACCAACCAAAAACCTTCTTCCTGGAGGGAATCCAGAAACTTGTGGACCGCTGGACCAAGTGCATTGAAAAGCAAGGAGACTACGTAAGAAAAAATGATGTACTTGTTGAACCCCTACTTTTATGGAAAAAAAAATTGTGGAAACAAAAGTGCGGATAATTTTTGACTCATCCCTGTAATTGACCGTTTTATTAAATATTTGTGATGTAACGAATGCTCTTCTTCATTCCCATGAAGTTTATCTCAAAATTACTATGTTTTACCGGAGACGTCTTTCTTGTCACGTCCCCGCGTCGTTCGGGATTACACGTTTAGAGCGAAGATAGCTCCGAGGGCGCCTAATACGCGAGTATTATGGCGCATTTTGCCGGGGATGACTAACGCGCGAGCTCGTCGGGAATGATAAAAAGCGAACAGACGTGAGGATCGAGAATTTACATCGCTGCGGCGACGTGGTCCGGGCCGATAAATGGTTTGAAGCCGTGTCAAAGGAAAGTGGGTCCAATTTAAATCGCAGCCTGTCCTCTTGCCCGGCCCCAGAATCTCCCATTGCCGAATGAATCCGCGTTATGAATAGTCTCGTGAGATTTACGCTCCGTTCTGCCTTCGAGAGATCACTTCTGGTTGTACGTTATGGCAATTGGCCTGGCGTTCGTCCGCGCCCGGGACGAACTCGCGGGTGATCTAACGACCGATTTCGAGGACGAACGGAGAGGATCGTAAAACTATACGAAATTATCGCGATTCACGAAGGAGATTAAATAACGCGTTGCTTGCGGAGACGGAGAAATGGAAATTTTGTAAAGTTTCCGTCTCAGTTAAAAACTTAACTGGCAAACATCCAGCGTTTTCTTACGAGTTCGGAATATTATTCGCTGTAAAGGGACCTAATCTGCTTAAAACTAGAAACTTGCGCGGTACGATAGCACGTAACGCATACAATTACAACTTAATGCGTTACTATTTCTTCAGAGTTTCTTTTTTCTGAAAACTAATATCTGTCAGAATAACAAGACTCTTTGTATTATCGTCGGGTTTAAAAAAAAACTTATGCAGTTATAATTGCAGTGGCGCGGCTTCACCATGTGTACACATTGGAAAGCCTTCTCTCCTCGAGGCTTAACGAGAATTAAAATCTTCACCGTAATGAAGCGGTGTTTATTAAAAATTTAATTAGAAGCTTTCCTCCGTTAAGTTTCGCAGGCAATAACTTTGCAATTAATTTCTAATTACCGTTGCCGTGTAACGGATATAAAATGTAGGTATTAGTTTTGCGGCTGAAATAATTGCGGATTTAATGCTAGAATGGCTGTATCAACATTTCTATGCTAATCCAGTCATTATTGTACGCAACAGAGTTTGTCACTAAATTACATTTCGGTCAAAAGAATATATTATCTAAATATTGCATTATTGTGGATAATAAGATAATCGTGTGATATACAATGACAAAATATGCAAACGTATTTAATATATTAATATTAGAATATATACATGTATCATTAATCTGAACCTATTTTCTTATTTTTTTTCAGTATATGTGTTACCGTGGTCGTCCTCAACGTTCACTTCCGTTCACCACAAACGCACAAAATGGCACCCTGGGTGAAAAGAGTTTTCATACACATTCTTCCGCGACTGCTAGTCATGAGGAGGCCTCAATATAAATTTGAAAGCAGGTTGGTATCAAACATAAATGCAGAGAATGCTTATTTAAGGACATTAGCGAATTTATTATTTATTCCTGTTTTCTTAACTGTCAGTGTAATAAAAAAACAGAAGTTCTTTTTTAACTTTTATTTTAATTTTCAATTTTTTTTTATCACTGTACGCAGTATTGAAAATTAGAAAAAAAAATACGATAGTGACTATTAAATGTTCGTGAAAGCCTCAAACGAAAGGCAAGCCGTTGCTTTTGTGTTTCTTTGCGAGGCTTGCAGCGATAACAATTGCAATCAGGGATTTCGTTACCCGAAGATTGCGCCGTAACAATAATGTTGTACATGCTTGGCGCGACTCTATCTTACATTCTAGTCTCAGCGATAGTCGCATCGCCAGCCAGTCCACCCCTTTCCAAGAGAAACGTGACATCCGCATTAAAATTCCGTGCCCGATTGTCTATGTTTGTAGGTTCACTTCCAGCAGAGTGTTAATGAGGACCGTCAGAGGAAAAGAGAAGACTTGCTATTATCCTTATCATCCGTCGACTCAGGAAGACAGCGAAGAACATCTCACACCCAAGAGATTCCACAGCCGTCCTCCGTCAAAGGAAGACCTCTCGCCTTCCAGGTATTTATGACAATACAGAATACTCGTGCTAATTAGCTTTTTGATCGTCGCATTATTCCACCGCGATTTCCTAGACTTATTATTTAACGACCTATTATTTTGTTAGAAACGCTTCTAATTGCAAATGTAAATTAAAACATATCTTGTAGTCTGTGAGAAACTTACACGTATAAAATTTTAATTAAAAATTTTAACTGAAATAAAATGATTATAAAATATTCTCTTCTTTTTAATAATGCGATGAAAATACTGCTCACGATATTGATAGAAGTGAGAAACGTATTTAACAATGTTCTGCTCTCCGAATTGTTTCAGCCTTACAGACGGTGCGAGGTTCGGTGGCAGCTGCTTGATTCATGGCCCCCCTTTACCACCGTTACACTCCGAGTGCGAGGATCTCTCGGTCTCCGGGGACGCAGGCATAGAGGAAGTCAAGAGCCCCGTGCTGCGGAGCCCGCCCGCTTTTTCGCACTCCCGTTGTCCGCCGGAGGTGCACAGGTCCTGCATCTGCGTGCGCTTCATTGCGGAGCACACCAAAATGCTCGAGGACTCGACTAAGGTAAATTCACTGAAAAAATAGAGAGATATTTTTTAATAAAAATTTTACTTTAATATCTATACATATATATTGTACATAGAATATCTAAAACTTGAAAATTTACAAATTCGCCACTCTTAATAGAAAATCTTCCCGTGAATCAATCGAATTATTTCTCTGCGCAGGTAAAGGAGGACTGGAAGTACGTGGCGATGGTGCTGGATCGCCTGTTCCTCTGGATCTTCACTCTGGCGGTTCTGGTGGGCACGGCGGGCATCATTCTGCAAGCGCCCACTCTCTACGACGATCGGGTGCCCATTGACAAGAAGTTCAGCGAATTCGCGACCACGACGGTGGTGAGGTGTCCGCCCCAGTAGTCCATGCCCGAGCCCTGCACCGTAGAGAAAGACTAAGGACCAAGACGCCCCGGGACCTGGTCTTAGGAGTTGTCCGCAACCTCCATCTCCTTATCCTCAATGAACGAAATTACGGCAAAAGGGCTCCGATTTTGCAAAGAGTGTAACCGAAAGGTATAACGAATGGCGATTTCAAAGACGACGAGCTGGACGCTAAGCTCCTTCTTTGAGAAAAGGGACGAAAATCGGACGAGCGAAATGAAGACGTCGTCTGTCTGGAGAAATAGTGTGCCGGTTGATAGAAGGGTGGGGGAGTCGCCTCGAGAAAGGAGACGATGTACGTCGTTACGAAATCTCGAAGCGAGAAAGAACTCGGGGCGACGTCGTCGCCTGGACAAATTGCGCGCGCACGGTGCCTCTCCCAAATAGGGGACGGCGGCGTCGCTCGCACGATGGGCGCGAGATTCGCAAGGAGATTTTACCGTATACACCTACATAGTCTGCTCAAGTAAATCGTAATACGAAGCTGCCACTATTTAATCGAATAACACACATCAGGCTGACGGACGATTACGGTGTAAACACTTGTATATTAGTCTAATTTTAACGTCCCCGGGAATAATTAAGGGACTGAAAACCGCGACGATCGAGCTTCCGATCTCTCCGCCTGTCGTTCGTCTAAAATGCGCGCGCGCGGACGGGCATTGAGTTATCGTGCGAATAGGACTCGGAATAATAGAGAGGCCCGACGTGAGTTAGGAACTAACGCGAAGTTAATTAATATCATATTTCAGTCTACGTTGTAGATTTATGATCTAGAACGTGACAGCCAATACAAAAGGTAGCTTTGATCGTTCGATGACGTCGCGATGCGGTTGTATTTCTGCAGGCGTCTTGCGCACACACGTTTTACGATGAAGAATCAACGCCGCGCAAAGGCTTTTTCTTTATGAATGTTTTTTACATTAAAACGCGATATATCGATGATTCCACATATAGCTTGTCGCCGCGTGTGCAGTTTACCGAAGCTTGGAGCTTGCGAGCTTACAATAAGAAGCGAACGAGAGGCTGCAGTACGATGACCACCGCAGTGCGATGACAGCAATCCGTACGCGAACAATACTACGTTCGAGTGACGTAAGTTTCACCGGAGCGTTTTGCTCTTTGCAACGCGGGCCGGGAATCGCTCGCATTACGCGAAATTAATTAGGTAATGGACGCGTAGCTAGCTCGTCGTATACAGACCTTAGGGCGTAACCTTACTCGAAGTGTATAACCAACTGATAATTTTAGAAACGTAACCGTTTATACGAGCATATATATATATAAATATATAAATATATATTTAAAAGCGACGGACGAGCCGACGGCGCGTCGGTAGCGCGAAGTACTGTTCAACTGTGTAAGTACTGACCTAAACACTTAATTAACAATCAAACCAATCTTCCTTTTTAATAATCTTTCTACTATCAATTACTATATACTTCCACCAAATTAATTTCTTTCTGCGACTTTGTCAGAAGTCACTCAATCATCTGTCACTCTCTTATCTCTCGTTCAACGTCTTCTCGTGATCTCTTTCCTTTTTCCGATGAAGGATGTAAATATCTTTATTCATACGTGAAATTATTCTCATTTCCCGTTTCTCTTCGCTGTCCTTTTCGTGAAGAAGGGAACGCACGTATATCTCGCGTCGCCGGCGCATCTCGCGTTACCTCGTCCCCAATAAGAGTATATTGTATTTTGTAAACGAGAAGCGTGAAACAGCGTGGGAGTAAATGATAAAGAATAACCGATAGTACGGTAAGAACAAGTAAAGCATACGAATTCTAAAGCTGATAGTTGTAGGGAATTGAACAACCACATTGACGCCGTTGTTCAATACCGTAGTTCGTGGTCGTTGTCACTGTGAGTCGTCATTCATTGTTTCCGTCCCTCCCCCCTCTTTTTTTCATTTCCTTTTTTCATAGGCACAGTTAACGCGTCATGTACGATACTTGTGTCATTGTGTGATGTAAACGATCGCCCGTCGCGAATCGCCCGCGTGCGGAAACCGCGTTACTCGCGAGAGGTGTGAATTATCAACGTCGGAGAAACTTTGGATCCTCTTCCTCCGTCGATTTTTCGAGAAATTCGCGAGATGGACTTTTTCTGTAATAAATCAATATACGAATATAATTCATTACAAAATTGATAAGGCCACTGAGTAACGTGCTATTAATTTATACACCATGTTGAAGCTTCCATTAACTTAAGCGCGAAAGAACTTAACCGACTAACTATATTCCTTAGATTGAAGTAAATATCCAGTTTTATTCTACATATACCGATATGCTTCTTACATGTATGGAAAAAGCAGAAAAAAAATTGATTTGTCCCTTTCGATGAGGCAAGAGGATTCACGATCGACTTTGCCGATAGCCTTTCAAGTCGACGATCGATACTCGCGTCGACGTACCCGATTCTCCGACGTTCTTAGGAAACTCTTAGCCGTAACTAACGAGTAATAATAATTTTCGCGCATTTCTAGACATAATATTGTAGCACGTTGGACTGTAAATATATATATATATATATATATATATATATATATATTATTACGATGAGGGGAAAGAATAAAAGTTCCCCATTACTACTGCCATTAAAACGCAACGCCGATAATTTAAGAGCGTTTTTTGCGCCGTCACTCGAACGGCCGTCGATCGTTCTTCGTAATGAAACAATTTCCGGCATACGACCGCTTTTTTCGGTCCCCAGTCGATCGAGCGAGAAGGTAGAACTTCGTGCAAATAATTTCTTCTCCAGACACACGGACGAAAATATTTTTTTCCCCGACTGACCACGCCGGCGATCGACGCCGATCGGTCTGTGCCGGTTATTGTGCGAAAGAGTATACGTGATCGCTACTCGATTTGAAAATCGTCCAGTGAAAATCGTCTTGCCTTCGGCAAGAACGCCGAAGCAGTTAGGGAGATAAAGAGGCGTGCATTTAGTAACGTAGAACTCAAGGAATTATTCTCCTAGCGAGAGAAAGCGAAACAAATCTAACTCCGCACATAGGAAAACACAACGCACACATTTTCTATGATAGAGCTATATGTATACTTAATTGTTACAAAATCACCGTGATCGGTAATATTCGCGTCGACGACGATTTTATAGCGAATAACAACATTTCATCTCTGATTAGTGCGATGAGACACGTGTCAGAGTTCTAATTTCAGCTAGCTTCAGCTTCCGAAGAATTGTCAGAAAAAAATTAAGAGACCAGAATTTTAGTTAGCTCTTTGTTTCATCATAATTCAGTTATCACATACTTACATTTAGTTACGATTTATTGATAACACGACAGTGATAAAACGATGTTTAGAATAAAATTGATTAAATAATAACTGTCTAAATTTAACTATATAATAATTAAATATTAAAATAATATTAGTTAAAAATAATAGTAAAAGCAATTTAATTTTTTCGGTCCGAATACAGAGCATCGAAAAATCTAAAATAATAGAAGAAGTTTTAGAGGAAACAATTTCAACAAAAATAGACACGCAGAATTGAGATAAATAACGAGATACATACGAGTTAAATAATTTACATACATTTAATAGATACAATGATCATGTTTAATAAATTGAAAAGGCATTTTGATTTCGTATTGCAGATTAAATGTGTGTTAAAGTTCTTATTAATAACTACTAATTTTTAGTATTATAAATTTTTCAGCAATTTTTTTATTGTCAACGTCAGCATTAAAATGAAAAGTAATGGAGTTGCGTACTGCTGCTGTGCAAACATACGTCGCCGACTGCGAAAATCACGTCGATGTGATCGAAATATTTGATCGGTAGAATGGTCTTAGAGTCAAGAGCGAAAGAGAGAAAAATAGAGCGAATGGAGTATGTGCATTTAGATATTTTAGAATTTTAGATAATAAACCATTTAACAGGATAATAAACTATTTAACAGGATTAAGTTGTAAATACCGTGTAAATAAGACGTAGCGGTAAGTAAAAGCTATATAAACGATTGAGCCCTTTTTCACAATTTTCAAATAAGATCGATACCTTTCCGAAAAATTGTATGGGGCTTTTTAATACATCGTACGCATAACACACTACCACATATGTTATTTCGCAATTTTTAAAGTAATTTTAATTCTTTGTTATTGAAGCAAAATAATGTATTCAATCCTCATTTGATTAAAGCGATACCAGAAATGTTTTCATCAGAAAATAACGACTGATAAGATTTGAGAAATAATTCACGACCAGTTACGCACTGCTAGTTGTTTTTAATATTTAAAAAAGTATACGTATACATATATAATTTTTATTAAATACTATCAATTGAATGACTGTTCTCGAAGCTATTATTATTACTAATATTATTATTAAACTTTAGTAAATGATTAATTTACAATCTTTATGTCGTTATATTACGAAAAGACTAACGTTTTTTCAAAGATGTAAAAATTCTCTTGAGTAGAAAATTATTTACATATAAAATAAAACCCGCTTGGATTTTATCAAAGTAACGACGCTGAATGTAACACTAAAATGCCAATGAAAGATTTAAAAGTCAGTGAAAGATTCATGAAAGAAAGGCATAAGAGAATACATCTTTTTATTTATCATAATTTTTGTCACATATAAGATTCTGCGCAATCGGTGGCAACGTTTTTTAACCCTTCATCATGGCGTAATAACCGTGTCGTGATACGTTTCGCCTTTCTGCATTATTTATGTCTACATCAAAATTTACAATCGCTAGAAAAGTTTGCTCGCGATTTCCTTTCGATTTACGCCGCTTTCGACAGCAATTAATGCTCGATATAGGATTATCGAAAATTCGAGCGCCATTAATTAGCGTTTGGTCACGATGAAAAGAGCGCGGAATTATCTCAACGCTCGCGTACAAAGGATCAAACAGGAATCGCATTAAATGCACCGAGCGAAACTCGCCGCATTCGGGAGAGAAAAAGAAAAAAAAGAGCGCTCAGCGGAAAAAAGGTACGACCAAATATAATGAACGAGGAACGGGATATCTTTTTGACATAGGAAACGCGCATTTGAAACGAATGCGAAATTAAAAACCGCGAAATGAATTCGATGAAAATCGCGTCTGTTTGTTTGCTTGTTCCTTTGAAACCGCGCACGAAATGCTAATAATTCGTATTTTATCCGTGTCGATTGTTGCGTAGGTATATGCGATCGTTTTAGAATGTCGACAATGCGCTCACACGCAACACCGATAATAATGCGTCTGATAAAATCGAGTGAATTGTATGAAGACAATAAACGATCGATATCTTTTCCAAGCGATTAACTGAAGGGATTATTTACGAGACAAGACGTGTCCTATGAAGCAAAATTTCCGAAAGTAAAAGAGAACCTTTATATCTGTGTTGATGTCAAATGAATTATTTTATTTATAATTATCCGAAGAAAAAAATCTTGATCTCTCCGATTTATAGATCTTCTTTGCGAGAAACATACGAAGTATGCGTTTTTAATAACAAAATTGTAATTGTTGACGCAGTGAAATTGAAAAAAATCTTCGAGCGCAATACAGTCCTTCGTTAGAAGTAGATACGTCTCGTTTCGAAAATAATCTCTGCAGCGTATATGAGAGACCGGGAAATAAAAACATTTTTTGAATAATTCTCGTGTATCGAGAAATTTTATTTGCCGACAGATAAATGCGCATTTAGCACCAAATGCGCTGAGTTCAATACGAGATTCTCGCATAACGCATAACATAAAATGAAAATTTTACGGTCACAGTTAGCGTTGTACGCGACTAACTTTTAATTTCATTTTTGTAGCTAGCCCGAGAGGATATATTTTTCTCAATATAGAAGTGAAAAAACAGGCGGCTGCACACATTTGGCGTTAAACGTGCGTATTTGTAAAGTGCGCGCAGAGACGCGGCTTTTAAGAAAAGGTCGCATTTAGCGCTAAATGCATTGTGAAAAGTGGCTTGGACGCCGCCGAGGCATATATATAAAATCGGCGCTGTGCAGCTCCGCGACTTTAACTCGTCTCGTAGGGCCCTCGACATGCGCGAGGTGCGCGTGTTTAGAACTGCAATTTTAATACCGGGCCTCGGTTTTTCAATCTCCAACGGCCCGAGTCCCAATCGTGCAGCGACGATAAGTCGTCGCTTGCAGTTCCTTGAACTGCGTATTTGATAGCTTGCGAGTATCGCACTTAAACGCATTTAAAGTACGAGTTAGGCTAAAAAGACGAGAGAAGGGTGTAAGGACGGTACGGATAGATTATTGTAAAACGGTAACATAGTGTGTTATAAAACGAGCATACCGTATAGTAATAGAGCGCCATTAACATGAGCGAGAATTCAGGGGGAGGGCAGGGGGGAGAGGAGTTTAAATTGGAAATAATAATTACCACCGTTAGATACGATTATTATGTATATCGTTTGTTAAATATGTACTTACTAACTAATTATGTACTAACGAACGTCGTTCTAAGGCTACACGATGTAAGGACGAGATTCTTGTTGCTTGGTTTTGTAATCATGCTTGACAAAAGCATACGGAGAAAATAAAACTTGTTGTCGTAGAAAAGTTGTCTCGCGCAGTTTTCTTTCTCGCCATGCGAGTCGGCCGAGCGCCGTGCGAATATGCGGTTAAGGCGAATCGATTACAGGGCGTACGTGGGACACGTTGTCCCTCGTTCTATTGCACCCCGAATCGGATCTGGCAATTATATATTCATACCGATACCTCCGTGGAATTGTACGCCGTTAGCCACTCCTGCACCTCCGGCAAGGATTCCTTCAACCACTTTATCGCGAATTTAGCGTGCGCCTCGACCATCGCCATGGTGTACCCCACGACCTTTATGCTTTCAAGATTATCCTCGCTGAAGGTCTGAAACTAAAGAGTCAAACGTTAAAGGCTGCACAATTGCAATTTATATAATATTCGAAAAGATTTATATCTTTCGAAATGTTAGCAACAATATCGTGAAGAAAGAAAGGCTCGAAATATTGGCATAAAAATTACATTCTCCATGAGAGCTATTTATCATTAATTACGTTATTATTATTGTTGTACTATTCTACTTCTATATAAAATATTATTTTTAATATCGAATCACTCTTACGTCCTCAAAGTCCTCCTCGCTGATCAAGCCGTTCGTCATCGCCAGCGCGAAAGCTTTTAAGATCGGACGTGATTTTGAGAATCTAAACAGAGACATGAGAGAACATCGTAATCTACTTACAAGTTTGACGAAGAGATTAGAGAGTCGCAAAGTATACCTTGTGACGATAACCTGCCAATTATTTTGCACGAATTTGTAGGCGATTTGCGCAGCGACCGGATTTTGCGGAAAACTTCTTAAGATCCTTTGCGCCTCGTCCTCGTCGTACATCTTCCCTTCGAGAATCTCGCTAAGTATCCTTAACACACGTTAACCCGAATTATATTCCCGATAACACATGCTGGCAAAATTATGTATATACTTTTTGCAGGATACTTTTAAAAATTAATACTTCAACAGTTTTATTTTTTAATCACGTGTAGAGAGGGCCTGGATTTTCTCATTTAAATTTTTATTGAATTCATTTTTCACACTTTTTAATTTTCAATATTAAATATCTTGCCCTGACGAGAAATAAAATTAATTCTAAAATGAAATTTTAGAATTAATTTTATTTCTTGCAACTTATCGTTAGATAGAAATTAGATGGACAATAAAAATTTAATGATTTTTAGTATTATTTATTACTAACGACCTTCTACTTACGATTGTAGAATCCACGGCGTCTGGAAGCATGCAAACGCCGAAAGAAGGCGATTCCTTTCATCGTGATCCGCGGTGGAGTTTACCCTCTCGACGAAGTAATTCCACTCGTTTCGCGTGCCGTATCTTGCGATCGTGCAGTACAGCACTTCGCGTGCGTATGCCGGTACACTGAAACGAAAAAAGTTCCCAAAGTTTTGCTTTCAAATTGGAAATCAAAACGAATTTCGAACGAGAAATTAGGCGTTTTTAGCCGAACTTACACTTCGTCTACGTCGGAACGATCCTTCAGTTTCTCAAAATGAGTCCTGGCCCACTCGAGACATTCCGCATTCTCGAACGCGCACGCTATCGTGAGAGCGGTCAAAGTTAGACGCGATCCCTCCTCGATTTTCCACCCCATGTCTGAGTACAATTTCGAGGTAAACTTTAATGTAAATTCCTGTAAACGGTCCGTTTGTTAACTTATTTAATCGCACACACATTACTATTGAGCAACAATTTAAAACTGCTAATTTTTTTATATAAATTTTAATTTCCAGATTTTTAAATTCTAGACATTTATACTTTTGGCAGGTCTATTGCTTTAATAATAAGAATAACAATAGAGCATTAAATATAAATTCTGTTAAATTTCTTTTCAATAGTTTCACAATAAACTTTTTATTATCGTATTAAATATTGTTTACAAGCAAAGTATGGTTAAATTATTCTTAACTCTCTATCCCTGTATCTTGCAGATACTATATTTTCTACAAAATATTCATTAAATATTTTACAAAGCTAATAACTTCCTAAGTGTTAAATACAAATACAAATTTATCGAAACACTTTTTTTTAAATTGATATGCTTTTTTAATCTCGTTTGTTCTTTTACTCTACCTGAAAGGCACTAAAGCCAGATGTTTCGTAAAGGAGACCGTTCAACTTCAACAGATGACGCATCAGAGCACCCCAGGGAGCGTAATGCCGTTCCTTCATTTGCATATATTTAATAAAGTCGAAAGCGGTCGCGTATTTCGTCAAGCCGACCGCGGCGAGTCCAAGTACATCGTCGATGAGCGACGCTCTGGTTTCAGCCGGAAGGGCCTCGTGATTTTCCTCGAGGGCCTGCGTCAGGAGCTTCCAATTTTCCTCGTCATAGTGCACACGGTAATAACCTTGAAAGCAATTAATAACGATAGAACGGACACTTCCCGTTTCGCAATTTCGCATTAAATTGAAGGACATTAAAATTAATGCGTCATTCTCTAGCCCAAGAAGTTATTTTTCGCGTGAACGAAAGTTAAAAGAGTCATTTGTTGCGAAAAATTGCGTTATAATATTTAAGGAATTACTAAAAAAAGAAAAACGTCAAAAGTAAATTAAAATAGAAAATAAAACAAATATTTCTTATTCTACCAGACAATGTAAATTGCTCGTCTATATTTTTTCCATAAGAAATGTATAATAAAATTTCATGTGAAATGAGTAGAAGTGAAGAAAGATTTTACTAAATGCCTTAATTTTTCGTAATTGAGTTTTTAAGGGCGTTTTTTTTCAGAAAAATATTTCTTTAACCAACCTGTTTGAGTTTTTTTTTTTTCAGAAAAATATTTCTTTAACCAACCTGTTTTATTCACGTTGAACACAACCCAGGAATCTTGAGCGCCAACGTTTTGCACCACCATTTCCGTTTCGGAATGCAACCACGTCTTTGTCGGAGATGACCAATCATTGCTCGTTTTGTTAATATAGTCAAGCGGTACGTACCACGTCGGTTGAGTGTCGGCTGGTGATTGGTCATACGTAAATCTTTGCTGTGCCAACATACAACATGATTGACGGTAATAAATACTTGATATCGAGAAACATATTTAATACGAATTATGATGCTTCCCGCAGTTTTTTCGGTATTTAAGGACGCACCTGGCGAATGACAGCGGTGCCCTCCTTGTATTTCCTCATGACGCTGACAATCGGATATCCACGATGCGAAGTCCACGAGTTCATCGCTTCGGACAACGTGATTTCCGCGGGTAGACCGATAGTTTCTTCCGCCATCGTCTCCCAGAAGTCGTTGACGCTCGCCGTCGAATAGTTCCTGAAGATATTAATTTACAATAATTTCATTTTTTTCTCTCTCTCTCTCTCTCTCTTTCGCAGCGAAAGGTCGAGCGCTACATCGTTCATCGCGCATTCCTCGCGTACATCACGCGACAAGATTGTATAAATTTTGCATGTTTCGTACGACATTGCGATTCAATGCCAACGAAATATGTATATCGGGTGATAGGTGCACTTATGTAACGAGCCCCGATAAAGAAGCATGAGGAATAATGGTCGGCAGCTCGTGACATTCATACGACTGGGCATTACCATAAAGCCGACGGGGATAACTCGCTGTAAAACGCGTCGATTATCGTTTCGACGACTCTGAATCACGGTGCTCGCACGAGCGAGCGAGCGAGCGGGTGATATAAACGTCGATCGTCGGGAATCGCGCGCGATTAATGAACGAACGACGGCCCGGCTGAAGGATAAAACGACGATAATGTGATATACCCACCACCTCGCTATGAATTTCCGGTAGCCGTTCCTAAAGGCGGTATCGTTTATCACGCCATGCAACATGCGAATCAAGCATGCACCTACAAGAAGCAGTCAGAATGCAGAATCACATTATGCGGCGTTACGAGAGCGTATATATTCGATACTGCCTTTCGAGTAAAGCTCGGACTATTCGACAATATTTCACGCGTTCGCATGTTCAAGAAGACACATGGCTTCTTATCGAATAAATACGATTATATTGAAAAAGTGAAAAGTCGAAAAATATGCTGAAGAGCAATATAAATCTTCAATTTATTACAGAATCATTTGATGTTGAGATATATAATGCAAATTTTAAATAGTTACAAATATTAAAATTAATTTGTAATAAAATATTCAATTTATTTGTAATAAATTCGCGAAATATCTCTAAAATGCGCAAATTAAAGTCGAATAGTCACAGCTCCACTTTCAAGTGTCGATATGCAATATTTGTAATATTGAGAGTAAAATATTAATGCAAATAGTATTCAGTATCAGGAGCAAAATATATTATTGATACTTGGAAATATTAGAAGCTCGAATCAAAAAGGAACAATTTGATGGACGACCTTTACCTTTCTTATCTCGAGCATCGTCATCCGAGAAATCCAAATGGAGAGGATTGACGTTCGATTGCAGCGGCCTCGAAACGCTGTAACCATCTTCTTCCATGGCGTCCCATTGCACGTTAGCGAGGAAGGCATGATTGGAACCCAGTGACGAATCTATCTGAAAATAGAATCTCATAAAAACTTTGCTTTCCTCGGCGAGAGAAGATAAGTACTGAGGCAAGTATCTTTTCCTTACGTAGACAGTATCAAATGTAAATCAATTATTTTAAAAAGATAACGTGGATACAAACTGAAATTTAAATTAATTTAAAATAAAAACAGTTTAATTTTTAATATTAATATAAAATAAAGAGTATAGAAATAATTGTAAAATTAAAATCAAAATTTTTTTTCCTGTATAAAGAATTTTGTTTCTCTGTACACTCTACTGTATGTGAAAAATTTTATTATGTTTGAATGTTCTCTTTATTAAAAAATTTGGCACCGTGTAGATCAAATTCTTTTTTTCTAATTACTCATATTACCTTTTTAAAATAATTAACGTAGAATTTAATATTAATAACTTTAAAAGCACACAGCTTTAATATGATTTAACATATGTTTCCGCATAAAATACTGTTTGTCGAACGTCGGTATGTGTTTTTAGAGTTAATGGATGTTGCAAATATTATTCCAATTATGTGCCTTCTCGATTATCGCGTGTCGCAAATACAGAGTGGTGCCTTCAAATAGCCAAATGTCCGTCCAGTTCTTCATGTTCACGACGCCGCCCAGCCATTGTTCTCCTATCAGGCTTATCAGAGCGCTTAACGCATCCGTCTTCGTGACCATGGGAGATCGATCCGCGGCGTAGAAGAGCGATTGCCTTGAAAACAATTTAGCTTGATGTAACGCGACATCGAATGTAGAGCGATTGTAGAGTATAATGGATTATCATTTTAAAAAATTACCTTCTATAAGAAAAAATTAAAAACAAACCGCGCCCATCGAAATATTACGTGAAATAATGTTTTAACTTACCTTTGTTACAAAAGTAGTGATATTATTATTATTAAATGTTATGCCAATTCAGCATGATTCTAATGGTATTTTCTGCTCGATTATAACACAAAATTTTATTTCTTTGTCAGATCTTTTACAACTAAATAATTTTTAATTAATTTGATTTTTTAAAATTCTGTATTTTAAATTAAAATCAAAATGCGATTTATGTAAAATCCATAGTTAAAGTTAATGCACTTAAAAATGAAATTTTATTATCCCTCTGAGAAAATTATAATTTTTTCCAGCGAAATAATTTCGCAATAATCTAATTATTCTTGTACATAAAAATAACGCTATGATTTCTCTTACTTCAATGATATTAATCCCGGGCTTCCGGCGTTATCGATGATTCGCGACGGTAATGCGACGATATCCAATTTCGGTAGCGGATAAGGCATCGAGAACATGTCGTTCAAACGTACAACAATTTGGTCGAGTTTGTCGAGAAGGTAAATTCCCCGTGATCGCCTCTTCGGATCGCCCCAGAATGTCACCCCTGTCGCGTTATCGAGCCCCGTTTTCGTCTCGGCTAACGACTCAACCTCGCCCATTACGATAGCCAGATTGTGAGGCGAAAATAGCGGAGTATCGCTGAAGATGTCGATCACTTGATCATCCGATCTTGAAATATACAAATCGCATTGATTTCCTCGCCGCATAAAAATTTGTTACGTGGGAAGGGAAAATGGAAGACCAAATGACACGAGAAATTACAGGTAATTGCCGATAAAATCAAACTTACATTCTGATAAAAACTCTTATTTTAACAGTTCATAACTTTTTAGGCGCATTTTTTAATTTAAAACAAAAAAGATCGGACTGCAAATTGATCAAAGACTGTGAAGCTTGATAGCACGTTTTAAAATTACCACGTAGAAATGATAAGAGTTGCGCATGCAGGCTTTTCTATTCTTTATTTCACGTTTTTCATTCTATTTCCAATTAAGAAGCTATCAGTTGAAGAAGCAATAATAAAACCGGACAGTTTTGCTATCCCCAACCGATATAAGTCTTCTAAGCACGCTAACGTTGACACAGCTGTAATTAACAGTATGAAACACTCACACGTCTTTGGAGATATTGAGAGGCATGTTCGCCAGGACTCTCATTTCGCGCGGATGTACCACGGACACCGAGAAGATAGCCTTGAGATTCACGTCGTCGAAGATAGGCAAAAGATGCGAGGCTCCGACAGGTTTCAACCACGTCCCGATAAACGATCTACTAAGAATATATAAAACTATCTAAAAAATTGCCCCTATTAAGCAGGCACGTAGGAATAGTCCTAAAGGATACCATAACTATTGCAATAATACTTGAGGTAATTTTTTTAACATATACTTACGTAATTAATATTAAATATTCTAAACGTGAAAAGTCTTAATATAAAGCAGAAAAGATAGAAAGAGGATCAAATGTAAAAAATATAATTTTTTAATCATTTTTATATTATCAAAAGAATATTAATAATTATATTTTTAAAATAGCAAGCTTCTAGAAAACTTCTTTAGTAATTTAAAACAAAATTTCTTTAATTAGTACAGTGTGAGTAGCTGTATCTTTTGCAAAGTATTTTAACTCTAGTGCGATCAATAATTAATTAATTGATTCTCTTTAGCATAATTACGAGAAAAAAAACTCACTTTCCGTCGCCGGACTCGCCGAAGCTCGCCGAATAAATCGCCTTGCCGTCAAGTAGAGCCTCGTAATCGATCTCTAAGCTATACATTCCCGGACTTATGTCGACGGCCGGATATATCACATGTAATCCGTTATTAGCATCCACCTCGTATCGTTGGATCTCCACGTCGTTGGTTGCGCTACCGTTACCGGAAGTTACCGTGGCGAACATCACCGGTCCAGACGTCGTCGTCGCGTTCGTAGTCACCGTAATTTTCTCATCGGGCACGGACGAGCTCTCGTTCGTCATCGGAGAAGTTTCGTTGGCCGAAACGGTCGCGTTTCCTAGAGGATAATCCGTAACAGCGACGCGCGTTGTTTCCTGATTTTCCAATTGCGGAGATGACGTCACAGTGGGAGCCAAAGTGGTGGCATTGTCTGCTGTTGAACAGACCGTTGTCCGGCATAAAACATAATCGATTACGTAATTGTTCTTCCAAATGAAATAATGAAACACAAATTTCAAATAATGATCCACCGATTACATTAATTTCTTTTCTTATACAATACAATACCGAAGAATGAAACTGGATTTAACCAGCTCAATTACGTAAGACATTTAAAATGACGAGTGCGAATTAAGTTATATTTCTCCTTCTTATTTTGGGATTTATCACGAGAGATACGCAATTGACCACCTGCACGCTATTGTACTAGATATTGGCGCAGCTGCAGGCTAGTCGTCGTCTTATCGCGCATTATTTCGCTACCAGAAATCTGTTGCTTTGTTAAACCGTACATTAACCCGTTGCCTTATAATGACGGGTGCTACATTCGCGGTGCAGATTACAAGCCAAATGGAACAAGCACCAACTCGTGACATAGATTACGATCCGAATTTAACGAACACAAGTCTCAGTTATAGCACCTATAAGTGACATAAACTTTTTGCACGCGCACTTATTTAAAGCAATTGGTTAATCATTACGTACATGAGCCGGATTAAATCGAATAATTAAATTGAATGATTTGAAATGAATCGATTTCTCGCTTAATATAATATATTATTATGATATATTATTATAATATATTATATATAATATATTATTATTATTATATATTATTAATATATAATATATTATTTCATATATCATCTATTTCTGTCATACATTTATCGAAATATTTTTTATTACAAGAACCAGAAAGTCAAAAATAATTTTGATAAGAAATATTAATGGATATCTATCTGAAATTTTCAAAGAAAGTACCAGCGTTTCCTTGGCCGCCTGTATCGTTCTCCTCGGCGCGTCTCCTACGCCTCCTTTTCGCACGCGCACCGTTCTCTTCTATGAGCGACAACTTATAACGTGTCGCCGTGATGTTTCTCGCATTCAGAGACAATTGGTTTAATGGCGTTGTATCATCCACGCGAAATTCGATGACAACTCGCCCTTTCAGCTTCGACGTCACGTTGACATCGTTCGACACCGTCAACTCGAGACTATATCTCGTGGGATGAACGAAAGGCGATATTGTGGCCGTCACGTCATCCTCCCCTTCCTCCACCTCCTCCTCAATAAGGGCTAATGGATCGTATATCTAATTAACAGAAAGCGCAGAGCTTGAAATAAATTATTAGTGCTTATTAAATAGAGATGGTATGTTCCATTATTTTGCATATGAAGCCAAAATGTAAAACAATTTCACTGACAGACAGCTGTCTAATTACAGACAAGACTGACTTAATAATAAAATTTGAAAGTAATAAAATAGTAATGTTGTAAAAATAATAATAATTTCTGTTATATTCGAATAGTCTTAAATATAATTGTGATTTCAAATTAATATAAAAAATCGGATCAATAATTGAATTTCTATTTTATAGTTTTAATTTTCTCCTCGAGAAAGTATGCGTTTGAAATTACCATAATAAAATATCAATCGTCGATATAATACTAAATTACTGATATCATAATCTGCGTTATGATCAATCACTCACTCTCGTTTTGGGCATTGTGCCAATGTTCCATCCGATCAGACCGGCGACGACCACAACGATTACGAACAGGACAATGAAGGAGAGAATTTTTTTGTACGTTAAAAACCACCCACCCTTTCGTTGGTGGACAATTTCCTCGCAGGGCGGAGGCAATGCGGTATTACCCTCGTATGTCTGCATCATGCAGTCAGCTAAAAGTATTAAACGCGCGTTAAAAAGATGCGCATATTTATTGCCGCACTCAATATTGGTAGCCATTGTTCCTTCTTAATAGGCTGTAACACTTTCAAATTGGCCATCAATCGTACCGATCATATAACACGCTATTTGACAAGTTGTAAATGTTACAAGTTGTTGAAATATTATTACCTTTTTTTAAATAAACAATATAATTTTTCCTTGTAATTAGATAAATTAAAGAGCTTGAGAGAAACTGAAAGAGAAGCTGGAATGTATGAATTTTTCTTTAACATCATACGTTATGAAATTTTTTTTATATTACAATCCATTTTTAAAAACTAATTTCTAGCTAAATATTTAAAGATTTAAATAGCTGGTCGATTTAAATATTTAAAAAATTGTTATTTCTTATGATTACTTATTTAAAAAATATTACAATTACAAAGGAAACTGACAGAGATAAACTAGATAAATAATATAACAAGAAGAATAAAAGAAAGATAAAGATGTAAAAAATTTATATATGTAAATTTATAGATGTAAAAAAAATTTTTAAATTAATCTATAATTATAAAGACAAAAAACTTCTTTTTTTCAGATTACGTTTTTCTCAAACGTACACACCTTTCAGTTAATAGGCAGAGTTATTTTCTTAGAAATCTAACAAACTGCCACAATCGAGACTAGTAATTTCCATTTTATGATCAATCGATTAAATCATAGAACCTTTAGAGCAATTAAAATAATCGTGGAAATTATAGAGAAGCTTGTAAACAGCGCGAACAATCGACGAGTCAAAGCGCGTAGCGTACCGTATGATTTTCCGTATGAATTTTGAAAAAAAAAAGAATCGCAATTATCTGAAAGCGCATCCATCGCATCGTGACGAATTTTGCGTTAGTAGTGCAACGCTAGAAACGCGGAATACGTGCGGATGATGTCATCGAAATTGGTTCCCCGTGATGCAGGAATCCGCGATAGGCCTGTGAACGCGGCAGGAGACGCGGTTTTCAAGGTCCTGCTCGTGCACCTCGTGCTGACTACGTATCAAGTCCAGCATTCGCGTAATCGCCGTCGCGCTGATAACGCTCGTATCGGTGCCGTTCGCATGGCATTAGCCGGCGACAGTCCGCATTGATTTTTAGCGGGCGTAATTTCTAACGAGGAATATTTACACAACAGAAACAAGCGCACTTAACAATTGGACAACGCTGTTACTATCGCACTGACAATGAGAGCGTGAGAACGTGCAAGTAAAATTTGCAATACTGCATTTTATCGAATGCTATAAAGTTGTAAACGCAGTGAAATCGAATAAATCCGTACCGTCACAGAAAACTGTAGCGCAAGAAATGAGCATTGCTTGTACCTACAATTAAAATTTGAGGTATTACATTAATCGAAAAAAAATTATCTTTAACAAAACGCATTATGCATTTTGCTAAGAATCTAAAGCCCGATATTCGAAACCGAATAAAGCGAACCGAAAGGCGTAATATTTAATTTTCTTTTGATTATTGGAATTAATCGCTGTCTACAGATTTATTACAATTAATTAATCTTCTTATTCTTTACTTGCTCAAACAATATTCTTATTAGTTGTTTGTTCGCAAATTTTCTATTATCATATCTCATTGTAACACGTTCACTATGATAAATCATGTTTCTCGTTACACCATGTAAACGTGACTGTCTCGTAAATAAATGCCAATATCTTAATACTTGTCCGAGACAAAAAGATATAGAAAGAGAAGTTTAAAACAAACTCTTTGTATTCTCGATAAATGCTAAGCTAAAATAGAGAGAGAGAGGTAGAGAGAACTCAGGTATAAAATTTCTTTAATCATATGCCGATACAATTATTAATATAATTTGGAAAGTAAATAGTAAAATTTGTAAACGTTGACATTAAACGGAAAAGGATCAGGTAGTATATTTTTTTATTTATATCTTTTATATAGAATTAAATTTTGTGGTATATTTAATTAATTTATACAAAAATATTACGTAGCAATTTAATTTCCAATAGAAGTTATTCTCTTTTTTTGCAACATTAACGAGAAATGTCGGCAAAAATTCGCGCAATAACATCAATAGTATAACTAAAGGTATCACGAGTGAATATCCAAGGTAACCTCCAAGTTGGCAACGCATGTAACGCGGCGAACAGATAGCATCAGTAATAACATAATTAAGAGTACGGGAAAATTATTTCAAAATACTCGAAATTGATGTGACACCGCTCCGACGTGCATGCATCTGCATATTTTAAAATAATCATATTTGTTCCGAGAGACAATTTTGTTGAATTTACAATGATTTAACACGTGGAACATCTACAAGCCTGAATACAACCGATTGAGTTATTTAACAGTTTCTTTATTGAATTGTTTAGCTGACTGATTTACTTAAGAATAACATATCGATGTACATGCATTTGCAATAAATAAAAATGTAAAAAACATAAAGTTCTAAGGAATGTAAATCCGACATTCAGAGAAATTGTTATTAATTTATTATAATCAAATAAATGGAATAAAAATTACGGAAATTATTGAATAAATATTTATTATAATCAAATAAATAAAATAAAAATTACGTAAATTACTGAATAAATAAGTGGTAAATTATAAGTTCTTATAAGTTTCGCGCTGAATAGAAGATCGAAAAACATACACTCAAAATCACATACGATTACAATCGTTATAAAAATTCGACCATCAACTTGCTGCAGCGGTTCGATGCGACGATTTAATTTAGTCGATTAATTTACGGTATATTTATATTCATATTGATATAAGCAATTTCATATTTGAACATTTGATGATAAAGCGAAATCCGAATAAGTTAATTTGATGTTGTTCTCAAAACCGAATTTCGAATAGAAATCTGAAATAAAGGACGGATTTGATAAAAACAAAAATTATTCCTCGAGTATTTAAGATATGACGGTGCATGTAAATAATGTTTGATTGACAAATGTAACTAATAATGATTGAAATAATTGGAGTAATGGACATATTTATCAACGGTGTGTGAAATAATAATTAATTACAACGATAATTATCAACACAAAATGTCTAATTTCCTGTAATAATAATCAGCTTTAAACAAAAGAATATGTACTTATAGTAAAAGTATATTTTTGAAGGCATTTTTATCTAAAAAATATTAATACTCAATGTGGTATAATTTTCCACAGTTTAGTTAATTGTCTATTTTAATACATCTCAGTTTATACATCCTTTTACTTTTATATTATATTTAATAATAATATTTTTAACTAATTTAAAATTAGATATAACTTTTAAGATTTAAATAAAGAAGAAATACTATTAAAAATTGTAGTTTCTTGTAATAGAAAAGATTAGTATTTTAAGTATAATTCCATCAACGAAACGTTTAGATGCATGGAAGCAACGACGGCAAAGGCAAAAAAACAGCTGTTATCACTTACAATTTCGCATTCCATAGGACTGCCAACTACTGACGGAGCCTCGTCGCATCGTTGCAATTTGAAGAAATAATTCGCGAGGATATTCTAAAGAAAGAACGCAAACGAAAGGCGCGAAAATGCGAAAAGGCGACTTTGGAGAACGACTCCGAAACGCGGAAACGAATTCGCGAGCGCGACGGCGCACAGGTGACGCAGGTACAACTGCAATTAGCTGTTCTACCTTGCGGTGCCGTGCGTGGATGTTGGCCGAGAAACACTTGCGGGTGCCCCCTCCCACTTATGCTCCTCGTTCGTCAGCTCTCCGTGTCGTTCTCAACCGTTCGTTCCGCTCCTTATCCTTATGCGCTTCTGCCATAATTCGCGATTAGAGCCGCTATCGGAAACTTTTTCGCACGCCTTACAGCCTTCCTCTTCGTCGTGACACGTGGAACGAAGTCCGGCGTGATAATGCAGCATCTAAAGAATGAGGCAAGTTCTTTTTCCTTGATTTTTATGAAACCATGATGATTAAAAAGAGAATTAAAAATAAACAGGAATAAAAGAGAATCAGTAGTGCAAGAAAATATTATTATTTGTCATATTTTATTATTTGTTTTCGTTATATAAGATCTTAATTGCAATTAGAACATTAAAATATCATTAAATAATGATACTTATTTAATGTAAAATAATTATTTTCTATTATTTTTCACATAATATATTGTTTGTTTCCATAAAGCTGTGCTATATTTTCCGTGTAGATTTTAATTTTTTCAGAGCTTTTTTCAAAATCTAATTACGCAATAATGGACATTGAAAAATTTACCAAATCAAATTAATTTACCGCATTCTCAATTTGCAATCGTAATACCAATACAAGATGGTCTCCGCATTCCCGTCAATTATTTTAAAATGTTTAAGACATTATACAGAGATAATTACATTATCAAGAAACATTATCAAATGTATAGCATTATCGCATTCTCGATTGCAGCTTAGAACTGACCCCGTTATTGCACGAGAGCCCCGCGAGAGAGAAGAACTCGCGGACAAAACACTCCATCAAGTCCAATTAAGGCGATATGGTGTCGTGGTCCAAGTGCACATTGGGCTTGGTCCGGGGTCGGTACCAGGAGCCGGCACGCAGATCGACGGCACGTGTCGCCGTGGGGCGATAGCGACGCAGTATACAGACAAGTACGCTGGCACCAGGGTACCCCAAAGGGGAGCACAATGGCGCCAAGGTCCTTGCAACAGGCGATGCCCGAGACGCACTTTGTTCCCCATTTGATGACCGACACCGCCGGACCCGCACCAGATTGGCCGTTGACGTCGTCCGGATTGACACTCCGCCGCGATTAGGCTCCCCTTCAGCGACGACGGCCGCGATCGCCAGATTGAATAATGGATGGACGATCCATTTGCCCTAAGTGGACCTGAATTCCGATTCCCCCGAGCTGTTACGTCACCGCGAGACTGGCACCGGTGCGTTTTTCCGCGTATTTCCGTCGCTTTTCGGCGACCCCAGGCCAACCGCGAACGATGAGAACGATCAGTTTCAGACGCGACAGTTCACGCCCGGCTACGCTGTCACACGGTCGTTCCGGAGATTCTCCTCCCGCGGACTCCTCCCAGGAGGAAGTCGCATCTTCTTTGAGGGATATCAAGGTCAACCGGCGCGGCGGTGCGGTGATACGGGTGATACCCGGCCTCTCGGTGAACCGTGATCGCGCGCCGCTGACAGATCGTCCTCTGCGTCCCTCAGGCGTGCACGCGAGGATAACGCCGTAAGCACCCGGAATCGATTAAGCCGCGATTTTCCGCGAAGTAAATCCCTTCTACGAAGAATACTCCGCTTATAGAAGCAGTACAAAATTTTATTAAGATTGTTACAACCGAGAAGTGTGCAAATACAACTTGATCTTCTTTCGAATTTTGAAACAAAAAATTTAGTTTTTTAAATTCTAAATTCAATTTTTTCTTAAATTCTTAAGAAGGTCGATTAAACTACTAAAAAATGTGTGTTAAAAAATTGGCCTTACACATATATAATAGTTCTATTTTATCTCCGATTTATTTTAATTAATTCAGCGATAATCCAAATTTAAAAATTCTAAATATAAATATAAAATGCTTAATATAAATTATTCTTCTCAGCTTAATATATTAATTTTTTATCAAGATCTCTTGTTAGGAGATCTTGACTGCTACTGTGACACTGGACTCCTCCAAACTGCTTTATATCGAATTAACTTCAAACGTACAGCTTTTTGTCGTAAACAAGTGGACGTTTAAATAACTGCACTGAACACCAACTACCGATTCAGGTTCACTCTCTACCATTCACCATGATGTGGTCGACGTTGCTGTCGGGAGTCGTTCTACTGTCGGTGATATCATCCGGTCTTTCTCGAAGCATCAGTGATGTCGAAGTATAGTGTCAATGAAGAATTAAGAAACTTATCGTCATCCAACAACTGTCGAAATAAAAAAATTGCTCGTTTGATCGCAGGGCCGATGGAAGCGTAGCATCGATCTGAACGATATCTACTACTCGAAAATGCGTCAGTATCGATTACCGCAAGAAGTTTGGCCGATTAGTTATCACGTGGACATCAAAATACCCTTCATCGAGAGCAACCAGTTTAATGGTCGTGTCAAGATCAATCTCACCTGGACCGAGACCAGCGACAGGATAACGCTGAACGTCCATCCGAATCTTGAGATTTCGGTAGTCAACGTCAGACTGATTAAACTGCCGGACGATGAAGCGTAAGCAGATGAGATGTAACTATAGTCATAATTAGGCTATAGTTTCAATACAAGAGTTTCGTGATTTAAATGTAAAATGTTATTTAGCGATTTAACTTTTTGCACAGTCAATGCATTTTTATCAACAACTCTTATATATGTATAGTTGTAGTAATTTTTATCATCTTGTATTTGTATTATAATGATAATAGCAGAATTAATAGAGGAACATTTTTTTTATTTTGTCACTCGTTCGTTTATTATGAGCTTTAAAATTGTAATAGAATCTCATTTTCTGTCATGTTTGTGACACAGGATGGAAGACAATTTAAAATACTTCAATATCGCAAGGACCGAACGGGTGACTAGAAAAGCCTGGTACATCGTTTATCTGGAACAAATGCTGAAGAATGGAAGTGCCTGCGAAATCGACATCACGTACTTTGGAAATCTCACGACTAATGAGACTACTGGCCTTTACAAAAGCGCGTACATGGATTCCAAAGGTCGAAACCAGTAAGCGCAGTAACAATTTTTTTCTGTTACTTTTCAAATCAAAATTTAAAAGTTGTAAAATTAACAAACGATTGCTTTGAATTTTTCGCGAATAATAGCGTGTGATCCATAGTTTACAGAATTTAAAACCGTTTGTATGATATGAAGAAATCTTTTTAAAGAAAAATCTAGACAAATTTTTCGTAATAAATAAAATGTAACAATAACGCAATGAGAATGGCAATGAAATTTACACCGCTTATCTTCTATCTTATTCTTTTCAGCCCCTTCATCGCCACTCGTTTACAATTAGACAACGCGCAGAAGATGTTCCCCTGCATGGACGAACCACCCTATAAAACGACTTTCAAGCTCAGTGTATTTTATCCTAAAGGTCTAACGGCACTCACGAATACGCCAGCAATGTATGTAAAACGTTAATATTGAACTTTAAATCCCAGAATATCACATTAGGGCTCCATCGATTTCCAAGTGTAAAAAATATCCATTCTAAGTTCGGTAAATTGTCAGTCTTAATTTTGCAAGTTTGCTGATAATTAAATATTACCTTTACACTTCCGTCACATTTTTCTCTAAGCTCTCGGCGCGAGTCGTCTGACAAGATCGAGGAAGAGTTCGCGGAGACACCTCAAATGTCAACGAATCAATTCGCCCTCGTGATATCCGATCTGCAGAACATCGAGCCCACGAACGAGATTAATGAGATAAACGGAAAGAGGCTGCAGGTGAAAGTTTGGGGCCGCAAAGAATTCATGGAGTCGCTGCTTAATGTCCCCAACAAAGTTGTGAGGATCGTTAATTATTTCCAAGATTACTTCAACAGCTCCCTCGGTTTACCGAAATTGGACATCATGGCGATTCCCGTGTACACCACTTCTAAAGCTTCCGACAATTGGGGCCTCATGTTCTTCAAGTACATAAAAATCTACAAGGATAATCTTACATATCTACGATATAAGTATAGAATATTATATAATAACAAAATATCTTTCTTTCAGGGAAAGTGAACTCAGTAGTTCTCTATTCTGGACCACTGCGAATGAAATTCTCTATCAGTGGATCGGCCAGTCCATTACGCCGTATCGTCGAAACGATGCGCCGGTTAACAAAGCTCTTAACTCGTTCTTAGCATCCATGGCGACAATCGATGTGAGTCTACATTTCATTTATAATCGTGGCAATATCTTTTACGCTTTCGCATGTCATTATAAAATATTATTATATTATAGAAAGAAGTTTTATTTTTAATAGAGCTCTATTAGTTTTATTTTTATACTAAAAACTGTAATATCATTAGTTTTCGAGAAATTTATTATGTATATTTTAAACAGCTCAATCCGAACGAGATGGAAGGAAAATGGCCAATGACAATGTTGTACCCTCTGTACTACGAATTTGCGCAGACGGCACCTTTCTCAAGAGTGGCAGGCATCAGACAAGAAGCAACGTGGACTAAAGGTAATTAGAATAAATTACAATAATTTATAATAATTGTATAAAACAGATAAATTATAATTTATATATTACTCACGAAGCTGACCTTTGAGGCAAAATTTGAGTATCACGCATACAGTATAAAGAACAAAATAATTATGAACACAAATAGTTGCGTGTATAATTTAAATAAAATTTAAGTCTACTTAATAAGTCTCTCTACTATGTAGGTTCATGAAATTAATTATTTCAAATCTTGGGTGTTACAGCTGAATTGGTTTTCCGAATGCTTAATTACTCTCTTGGGCACGACCTGTTCCAGAGAAGCGTGAGGAATTTCCTCCATCAGCAATCGAAAGAGTAGTAATTGCCTCCGTCAATTAGTTGGGAAGCAGATTCTAATCTCCGACAATTTAGCATTTTTATGTAAAAGCAAACTTCCGTCTCCCTGCAATACAAAAGTATTGCAATAAATTAAACTGTTTATAATTTTAATTCTCAAATAGTTGAAGATTTTCCCTAAGTAATTGAAATTTTATTCAAGTTATTTCTGTTACACACTGCTTCCCGACTACTTTTCTTCGACAACTGTTCGGCCGCAGATTCTATACATAGAAATATCGTGCCTTTCGCGTGTTTAGAGATTGCAGAACCTTCTTCGCCAACGATATCTTCACTTACCTGGACGCCATGGCGAACATGACGAATAGTCTGCCGCCAGGTCTGACCATCAACGGCATCGCCGCCTCGTGGATCAATCGGGACAGAGTGCCGTTGGTCACGGTCATTCGCGATTACGAAACTGGAAAAATTAATCTCACTCAGGTAAGCTGGACAAAAGCGTTATTTCCCGCAAGGACGCGCGCGACGCGGGAAGGCACAGACGTGATTTTCGCACAGATAAAGCAACGTGGAGATGACCACGTATATGTGCTATTCACTCGCGGTTGAAGCATTCCTCTCTCGCGTTAACGGAAGTTACATTTACTTCAGTGGAAATTAACAGACAGTAATGCGAGACCAGTAATACTGATTCTATTACGTTAAATGCTTTTATTGAATAAAACTAATGGAAAAATTATTAAATCTTTATCGCTTATCTAAGAAATTCGATAATAAAATGCAAATAATTTTTATATAATATAAAACATTAACGTACATTTTGAATTAAATAATAAGATAAAATATTATTGCGTGCAATGATAAATATGTGCAATCACGTCGAATTAACTGTAAATGTTATGTCCGGAACAAATATATTACTCTTCGCGAGCAGAGAAACATAAACATCGATAAGCTTGGTCGTGAAGAAATATTTGCATACCTAACTAATTGCATTAACAAGCATTTTTAGACTCTGAAACAACAACGTGTTACAATAATCGCATCGTTCCAAAGCAATAACAAAATCAAGGACTAAGTCGCAAGACGCAAGTGCGTTTAGTGTGTTACAAACGCGTGTGTTGCGCAATACTTGCAGGAGAGCCTCGCTCCTATGAAAATACATAAATTAGTTAGAAGAAGACGCAATTCCGTATGTAATTCACGTACGAGTTTTGTTCAACGAAAAGTATGAAATATACTCGATTTAATAATTAATTTGTGGATGCTCGGATCGTTAACTCCGCCAACTGGCAGAACTTTATATTTTTGAATTATGATTATTAAATTATTGGGATTCTCTTACAATTCTTGCATAGTATATTAAATTTTAAAAATGTCTAGATCTTATATTTTTTTAATTCATATTTATTGAAGCTTTTGTCACTTCATTCTACACATAATTATATTTACATGAACGAACTGATAAATGAAAAAATAATAATACATAAAAATTTTTATCTTAATCTTTCCTAGAACAAAAATAAGATAAAAATCTCATTGTACGTATCCTTTTGTAACATCTTGTTCGCGCTTCTAGAAAGTTTATCTGAGAGACATACCACCGGAATCCACGGCGAAAGTGTCGTACCAGTGGGACATCCCGATCGTGATGCAGGCGCAAGATAAATTGAACTTCAGCAACACCAAACCGACCGTATGGCTGAAAAAAGAAAATGTACCGAAGAATTTCACTATCCCGGACATCACCGACAAAGAAAATTTCATCATTGTGAATCCCGAAGAAATTGGTAGGTGGATATTCGCGCGTACTTCCAATGAGAAACCATCGCAATGCTTCCTAACAGCAAATTATACATTCTTAATGATTTCGATTAAAATAATTTGATTTCTATTTCAATATATTTTAAATATTTTATTTGGTTCTTTCAATACATCCTGTAAAATTATAAATTTTATCTACAAATATACTATACATCTATAAACGTTTAAAAATTGTTATCACAAATCAAGTTAAGATATTTACGGATATCTAAGATATTTGCCATAATTGTATAAAGCGCACAAAATTATTTTCTTCTTTTTAGTAATTAATAACATTAATTACTAAATAATTACTTCGCAGGGTTGTTCCCGGTGAACTACGACTCGTGCAACTGGAAGATGCTGTCGCAATATCTGCAAGGGCCGGACCGCGAGAAGATACCTCCGTTAACCAGGGCGAAGCTTCTGCACGACGCATGGAACTTGGCGTACGCCGGCGAGCTGTGCTTCGGCATCGCGATGAACATGACTCTCTTCCTCAAGGAAGAGAAGAGCCACGTGGTTTGGGAGCCGGTATTCACGATGATTCATCACGTCGGTCGGCGGATCGAGGGCTGGGACGTATATTTGAAATTCGAGGTAAGTACACGTTGACCTTTTTTTCGATTCAAAAGAATCGTCAATATTTCATATAGCCAGCATTAAATGGCAAAATTAAGTAGGCGTAGTTAATATCCAATATTCAGCGCTAATGGAATTTGCAGTAGACACAATCAACGTTGAATGCGCCCATATTAAACAGCCTATTTAATTTAAAGCAGTCCATTAAATATCGATTGTCCAAATTACATAGTATCGCACAATATCTGTAATAAGCTTCATGAATGTTAACTACAGTACATATATACACTTGCTTTGTTAACTTCAACTATAAGTTTCCTCGCTTTTTCATTTTTTTTTTCTTTTTCTTCTATTCCTTTTAGCATTTTGTTTTATAAAATCGTCATTTCGCCGCAATTTCCTTCAATTTGTCCATTAATTTCTCAGAGCCGAATTTAACGAGTAATTAAACAAAATACCTACATTTAATTTCAGGCGTACATTCAAAAGTTATTGAAGCCTCTCTACTTGGAACTTGGAGAGAATTCGCAACCAGACGAACCCTCCTGGAAGACTCACATGCGCGGTCTTATGCAGAACTTCCTTTGTCGCGCTGGATACCAGCCTTGCATTAAGGAAGCCAGGGATCAATTCAAGAAATGGATGGACGACGAGGAGCCGGACAAAGGAAATCCGTCAGTATCCAAAATCATCAATCGAGAACAAACGATTTATTGATTTATTCGTGGAATTTACTATACGCATACTCAGTCGCTTGAGTGCGAATGTAGTTCAATTGAAATATTTTTGACGAAATTAATATAAGAGTATCCACGTTTTATCGACAGCGAAAAACTTTATTGAACTGACGAGAATTATACTTTGCAGGGTCGCCAATCAATTTCTTTGCCCCGTGTTCAAATGGGGCACCGACGAGGAATGGGAATTCGGATTGCAGCGTGTTATAAACTTCCCGAAGACCAGTCTGGTGAGAAAGCAAAACGAGCGCACCTACCTACTGAAGACCCTCGCCGGGTGTCCGAAGGATGGGAAAAAGATCCAAAGGTCAGTATATTCGCTAAATTTTCAGCGTCGAATAAACTGATCCTTTTTCTCATAGCGCACACTCAAACAAGTAATGCGATTTTTGCATTCTCAAAAATTCTCAAAAATTATTTTCCTGTTTGTCGTTCCTGACAAACTTAAACTCGCTCAATTTAAATAAAATGGATTATTTAAAAGTTTGAATATGCGTTTGAATAAAAAATTATATACATATATATATATATAAACCTGCGTTGGCGCAAGTTTAATTTAATTGTTCAATCGTGCGTACTTTTCGTATATAGACAGGGTAATTTCCTTATTTCGAGAAAGTGAATGAATGAATATCGATGATAAAATAAGTATTGATATCACGTCGTTTTCGCGTTCAGACTGTTGCAAGTGGCCGTGCTGAACCGGAATGAGAATTTCACGGACGCGGACATCCACCTGATCTTCAGCATGCTGACTGGCAGCGCGACCGGCTACGAGACCCTGTTCTCCTTCTTGTACAGCCACTGGTACACCGTGAAGGAGCAGTTCGAGAACAAGACCTTCCTCTGGGACGGCATCGTCAATTTCGCCACGTCGTCATTCAACACGCCGGACGGCTACGAGATGGTGAGCAAGCTCTATACGGAGCACATTGACGAGTTCGACTCGGCGGACGCCATCATCAAGAAGGCGCTCAAGATCATCAACGAGGAGACCAAGTGGAACCAGGAGAACGTGCCTGTGATCAACGACTGGCTCGAGAAGAACCTGTCTAAGGAGGAGCTGAAAGAGATCTACAAAGTCACGACGCCCGCGTCCGTCCTTAACATGACCATCACCGTACCGACAACGGTCAAACCGCTGGACACGGTCCAGGAAGCCCTCGGATGAATAAGCGGAATTCGAGTTCGAATGCATTACGGCATTCCCGATAAAGAGAGTATAATCTATATCTTCTCAGTTGCTTCGAGGTATCCGATTTCTTTTCTCAATCACTAATTCTAGCGGTATCTTCGCTTGCTTGACAAATAGATAGATAGAGTCGCACAAGAACCTTACATATAATTTTTATTAAAATTGATGTAATAAAATTGGTGTAGTCTGCGAAAAAAAGTCGAATGATTGGAAGACGTGATAGCGTGATTAAAATGCGACGAACGTAAAAAAAAAAACTTCACTTCCCTCACCTCTCTCTCCTCTTCTATAGATACAGTACGTAATTTAAAAATGCTAATTTCGAAAAAGTAATGTAGTATATATTTGAATTTTTATTTTTGTAAAACGAATAAAAATCGCTCGTGATACACTTATTATACAGAATGGATGAAATGTTTTTCTGAGAAAAAAAATATATATATATGAAAGCTCGTAATTAAGATGTAATTTAGTTAAGATTTAATGTAAAGTTTATCTCGATGAATAAAATTAATATTAAATAATATTAAGGCTTTGTTAGATACATATTATATGTTATTTATTCGATCAGCTGCCTGTGTGTGTATTTAATACATAAATGCATGAACGAAGTTAATATTATATAATGTTAAGGCTTTGTTAATATATATTATATGTTATTTATTCAATCAGCTGCATATGTGCAGTGTATACATATATTTAAGTGCAATACAAACTTACGGATTATGCAGCATTATTACATCAGCGAACAGAAATAACGTAATAAAGAGCACATTGAATAATTTTTTGAAACGTGTGTTAAAAATCTACTTTCTAATTATAAGTCAGACTTTACACAGTCAGGCTTTTCACACGAGTGCTTTTGTCAAAAATATCATACGTATGCCTTTCGTTCCCACGATTTTAATACATGTCGCGACATCTTACCAGTCAATAGAAAACTATTTCGGAGATTTCGATATTATCTTCAATCAAATTAAACTATTATTATAATCTTATCAACAAATTACCAACAATTAATATTATTAACATATATAATATATATATTATACCGTTCCAAATATTATCGGCAGTCGTATAATCGTCAAGTTAATTATATAATTATTAATTTCTTTAGAAAGTAAAATGGCAGAAGCAATAATTTTCCTTCGGTATGTCGAATATCATGCGAAATGGAAAATATAGATTTAAACGCAATTATAACTGAAGAAAAGAGGTAAATCGATTTTTATCTAGAGATATCGATCGACAGCCGATCATCCTGCACTATCGACAATTCGCGCATGCGCCTCTCCCATCCCATCATTCCCATCCGGCTGGCTCCTGCGCGCGAGCGAATCACTGCCCATCTATACGCTCTTATTTATACTGTGCTCTTGGCAGACGCGATCGTCGGGGGTTGCAAGTCAAATCCGCGAGGCCAATGTCGTGTAAGGCCGTCGGTTTCGCTGACCTACGATCTCGCCGGCGTTTCATGAGCCACGACGGGGCACGACGTGCGAACGCGCGACACCACTGCTGCCGGCGACTGCCGACCTGCGATCGCATGCGTCCGCATCAACGACGTTACGACGAACGCGTCTCATCTCTACGATCTATGCCCGACCGCGGGAAGGACGCCGCCGTTGCCCGATCGCAGATGCGCACGTCGACGACGATCACGTACGTACCGGTGAGTAGCGCGCGCGCGAGGGTCGCCCTCGAAGGATCGACGGAGCTCGCGACGGATCCCCCATCCCCGACGTCCGCGATCTTCCGCGCGGCGCGAGCGGGGGAAGGTGAAGGTACCTTCTACGACTTTCCATTGTCACTCCGTCCAACGGAGAGAGATCACTCTCTCTCTTCTCGCGTGGCTCTGCTGCGGGGAGCCTCGAGAGATCTCGCCGAGATTTTTTTGTTGTTTCCATTGAGAGCGAGAGAGAGAGAGAGAGAGAGATATCGTCGCTGAGAAAAATTACAGTTTTAACTCTCGAGCACACGCATATTTGATCGAAGAGCGTGTGTTCCAGATACGACGTGTGTTGTAGATGCGAATACACAGAGGGAAAGTTTTGCCTGATGAATTTACCTATTTCGTTTTTGCACGAACTCTTCGACATCCTCGACGAGCCTCGGCAGACTCTGCGAAGTGACTGGTAGAAAGATAGCCGGACTTGGCTCCCTCGTGTGTATCGTTTTGTTTCACGCCTGTATTTATCCAGAAACAATCTTGTCCCATTGTCCTCATTTTGTTACATAATAGGCTCCAGCTCCGCCAAAGTTTTCATTTGATTCGATACGTATATATTTGAATTTGTATCAATATTTTACCTTAGGTGTGGCATTGACAAATTTTTCAATCACATATTGTTCCAAACGAGAAAGAATTCTGCCTGACGAGGCGAAACTTTAGAATTTTCAATACTCTTTATAGGAGATTTAATATCAATTTTTATTGCACGACCGATATATTGATCTGGATATACTGGATGTTTGATGTTAATCTTATTAATTTTTTCTTTTGCAGTAGCCATGGTTGAGATACCAAAGGATTGTGTCCTGCAGTGGGCTGGCCACGCGGGATATATTACGGAAAGATTCAGTGGTCTGTTGGCACGCCAGGCTCTAGTTGATGTCACATTGATCTGCGATGAACAAAAGCTACGTGTTCACAAGCTGGTTTTAGCTTCGAATAGTATATACTTTGAGGTATATATACAAATGTTGAAAAATACATATTCCTTATCCGTTCGATACTTGCTAATCATATCATGTATGTATGTTCTGTTGATACGTTTTAATTATTTGTAGGCTTAAATCTTAGTGCCTGTTTTTACAATATTAATGTGTATTTTTTATATACACTGCATTTATCGAAGTGATAAATGTTTTTTTCTTAATGTGTGTTTGCGTGAATACTTTAAATATTGTGCATATCATTAAATAATTTATAATTTATTTGGAGAAATAATTGTTCCGTTGTTTATTCAAAACTTTAAATTATAGATTTTGGGATTTGGATGATTGCAAAAGTGTTTACAAACTGTGTTTTACAAACTGATCCGAGGTCATGTTTAGCTATTTTCTAAATACCCTATCAAACGTTATCTAATTCAAAAACAACAAAATATTCTTTTCTTCAATTCTTCCAAATATTTTATGAAATAACAATGAGAGATTATATTAACAAAAGTAATATATCTAATTTTACAAAGATAATTCAAAAATATTGAGATAAAGAATTTCTGTTTTATAAGTATGATAACATTAATTGATTTTTTTATATTTATTACAGAGAAAATTATTTTAAATTTATTCAATTGTTGATGTTGATTAATGTTTGGTTGTGCATCTCTTTTCCTTTCAGGTCTACTGATGATTGTGCAGTGTTACTAAAATTATGTTGAATAAATTTTTAAAAATGTCTTATTCTTTCCAAATTATTTTATATTATACATATAGAATTATTGAGATTAAAAAGGACATTTAATTATTTGTTGAACAACAATTGAAGTAAAGTAATTTGGAATCATAGCTTTATGATCGTGTTTATTCCTTTAGCGTGATAAACAAGATTTGTGTATTATTTAAAAAAAACAAAGATAGGCTCTATATGTACCAGTATTATGTAGTAAAGAGACGATAGTTAACAAATGTAGGATTATTTAAGTATATACATGTATTTACAAATGTATACATTATTTCAAGATCTGTCAATATTGGGCTAGTTCATAGCGAAAGAGATGATTTGTTTTACTAACCCACATTTCACTAGAATGTCTACCAAACATCATTTTACATTTGTAGAGAAAAGACTTTGGATTTTTTAATTATTGATATAAACAATGATAGGAAAGAAAGGTATTTTTATTACATTTACTTCAAAATTGGGAATTATAGTGTACTTATGGTAGAACAATTTTACAGGGATAATATAAAAACTCATGTAAACTAAAGAAAGCCTTGTATATCGGAATTTCAGTAGTTCTTAACAAACATTTGAAGAAACCAAGTTTGAGGGGGCATACTTTTCACAACTTTCGAAGAACTTAGAAAGGTATTAAATAACTAATTTATATGATCTAAGGATAGTAAAGTATGTACACTCAGGCGTTTCCGTTTTCTATTAAAAAGAAATGTACTCATTACTCTACAAGGTATATGTAAATATCTTGCCTCTGCATGATTTCACTATTCTTTCTGTATGCAATCTTAATGAATCATTGTTGCACAAAATAACATCCGACAGAGTTTGAAAAAGAAATTTTAAAGGCGTACTTAAGCAAATAAACGAACATTCGAAAGTCTTAGACATTCTGTATGGACGTTCTACATAGACATTCTACGTCTCTCTATTCTTTAACTCTCAATTATTTTGTCATTTCGATATATTTTTTTTAATGATGGACCATTCTGTTTTGCACTATAGGAAATACTGCAACAAGATTTGGGACAAGAGCCAATTATACTTTTAAAAGACTTGGACTTTGAAATTTTGAAGGCCATGGTCGAATTCATGTATTGCGGCGAAACTACGATATCTCATCAGCATTTATCATCCTTGCATACTGCGGCACAAATTTTTAAGGTATATACAATCATCAATTTCGTTATTTAAATCAATGAAGGAATATTCTTTGCAATTATTTTAATATGTATAATTAATTTATGTTCTTTGTTATTTTTTTCCAGGTTAAAGAATTGGTATCTGTGATCGATACTATTGATTCCAAGAAAATTTTGGACGATTTTGAAAATTGCCTAAAGCAGCAGAAAGGAGATAGTAGTTTAAAAGTTGCAAACAATTCGCTCACGGAGGATGATTACATCTGTGTTAGATGTGACAAACTGAGCATGGACGAGAATACAACGGTCTGTGTAAATAGCAATAATAACGATATAAGCTCAAGTAAGAATCAATCTTCGGAGAATGATATGGTCGAAGCCACCGAGCGCGATTTAGCACTGGAATTTGACCGCATTTTGTACGAGGAATCGCACGCTATCGATGCCAGCAAGAAAGTGGTTACACCGATATTCTCGACGTCTGATGTAAATACAAGTGTACAAAGCGCTCGTACTACCGATACCGTACTTACGCATGTGGGTATGGTTGAAGCCAACGAGCACGATTTAGGATTAGAATTTGAACGCACTTTGTACGAGGAGTCGAGCGCTATCGATGCCGACAAGAAAGTGGCGGTAACACCGGTATTCTCGACGTCTGATGTAAATACAAGTGTGCAAAGCGATCGTACTACCGATGCCGTACTTACGCACGTAAGTATGGATGAAGCCACCGAGCAAGATTTAGCATTAGAATTTGAACATACCTTGTACGAGGAGTCGCACGCTATCGATGCCAGCAAGAGAGTGGTGGCCACACCGGTGTTCTCGACGTCTGATGTAAATACAAGTATACAAAGCGATCGTACTACCAGTACCGTACCTACGCACGTGGGTACGGTGAACGAAGTACAAGCCGGGTGCGCGAACAGCAATAGAGACGACGAAGTGTACAGTCATAGTCTCGATTTGAAACCCATCTTGTACGAGCAATGCTGTGATTTTTCCTGCGACGTAAACGAGAGCGATCAAACCACCTCTACGCTGTCGCAGTCTTGCCTTCCACAAGTCGAGAACGACTTGAAGCACTGTTCCGGGAGTAGCACAGATGTTCCTAGCACGGTAGGGAAATGCGTCAAGGTCTACACGCCGAAACGACGTAGGTCCACCGACGAGGTTCGCAATAAGCTTGTACATACGCAATGCAATTTAGTGCCAACTCCGCCGCACTCTACGGATTCCATAGATTTATTAGACGAGCCGTCCGCTAACAATGTACCAGTCACTCTATTGACCTCTCTAGATATGGAAAGCGCCGAATATATCTTAAGCTTGAGCACGGAAAGCATACAGTCGATAGTAGGTGGTACTATAAGCGATCAGCATACGGTGATCGGATGTAGGGAAGTAAGCGCCGAACGAGACGCCGCCAAGGAGCGACTGAATCCCCCGACGAACGGCACGGACTGCGCGAAACCGGTTCTGAGACGTAGCACGCGACTGAGTCAACAGGAGAGCGACGAGGCCGCGAGCAACGGCGGCCTCCCTTCGGGAAGTACCGCGGGAACTGCCGAGAAACCGTTCAAGAAGGGTAACTCCCCGAACAGAACGGAATCGTGCGCGAAAGCGAAGCGCCGGGCGAGGGAGGACCGTAAGGTGCCGGATCACAGCGCGATCGCGGGCGCGGTGCACCCCAGCAAGAAGAGCTCCAGCAAGAAGACTAACTCGAAATTGATAGTACGAAAGAGCAACAAGTCCGCGTGTACAGTTACCGGCAGTAGCAAGGAGAGAGAGGAGTCGAAGCCGAGGACGAACAGTAGATTTAAGGCCGAAAACACGGAGAGATTAGCGACAACGGCGGACCAGCCCGCCGCCCATCACTCCAACGCGCGATCCAACGTGTGCAAGTGCATAAGTCGCGCCCTGTGGGGCGACATGTCCGACACGTTGGATTATTGGGACGACGGGATGGATCTGCTCGCTTATCCGTCCAACACCGAGATCCCCTTCGCCGTCGGCCTGCTGCCCCTGCGGACCGCTCTGGAGAAGATGCAGGCGACGCCGGATTATCAGCCGCGCAAGACGCGCTCGTCGGTCGCGCCGATAAAGCAAGACGCAGGTAACTGTCTCAAGCGAAAGTACTGCACGCCGTCCGACGCCGTGGTGCCGGCGTCGAAGAAGCAAAACAATGGCAATAACAACGACGAGAATCCGAACACCGTATGCCACATAGAGATACGAACAGCGCCGTCGCAGTGCGTAAAAAGTCGTAAGCGATTCCTGTCGGATTCGATTACGAGCCTGCCGGAGAACGGACCGACCTCGCAGATGGCAAGTAATAACGTGGGTTAAAATTTATTTGCAATATAAATCTTATTCTGTCTTAATCGAAGTGTGCCATATGGTACTCTTTTGAATCCGTTGTTGAAACATCGTTGACAGGCAAAACACAAAATACCGTCATCAGATTCTCCTATTTTTTAAGCTTCAAGCCGGTGCAAGAATAAGATTTAATATTATTTATTTCCCTCGCCATATTTAGAGTCCACTCGTAATGTTTGAATATCTCGCAACTTGTACAATGATAGGTAGTCTTAATTTAAATGTAAATAGTAATATTTTTATGTACGATTTTGCACAAACTCTTACAATCACATAGATGCATATATTATACCACGTAAATAATTGTATTTCTCTGAAGCCATTCGTATATACTGCAGGTAATTTCATATTTTTGATAACGTTAATTTAATTGTAATTTAACTTTAAATACTATTAAATTTGCAATTAGATAGAGAGAAATAGAAGTGATAATATTCCTGTTAAATATCTTCAACAGTTTAAGAGGATACCATCCATTCTCATTTTGTATATCCGTAGCAGTTGCAAGAACAAATTGTACGCGTGATAATTTTTATCAATTTAGCACAATTATTTTTAATCAAACTCAATGTAATATATCTCTCATTACGCACACATGATTCAATCACACTTGATTACATAAGAGTGAATATCACATATGATTATTTATGCTTGACGGAAACGTTGAGAATTTATTTTAAGCAATGCGAAATGAAATATGTAAGAAGAAGTAAAGATAATCTATTTTTATAAATTTTTGTTTTTTAATTATACACATTTGTGTGCGGAAGTAGCTCTATAGAATAATTTTAAGACTTTGTACCTTAAAAGAGTATAACAGCAATAACATTTTTTTAATGAGACTTCGTGCATGAGTCATGTTAGCGTATTAACATACTTACATAAATTTAAAAAGGTAAATAGAAAGCAATTTGTGTACAGAGCATAGCAAATGTTGTGATGATAATAATTTATTTTGTCGTTCAACATCAACAAAGTATATTTCTTTTATGGGTTTTTTTGTCTTTTTTTTTTTTAAAGGCATCTTTTAATTTAGAATAGGTAATGTATGGTGCAACTAACTCGATATAAGGATGTGTGCTATATAAACGGAGACAAAAAGTTGTGTGTTTCAAAGATTGCATTGCAAAATTGTGCGTTTTTAACGATGTACTCTTTCAACGCAAATTCATTAGCTGTCGTAACGTTAGAATCGTGCATCTCTATCTGGTTTTTGTACATTAGCTACAGTATTCTTAGGATTAAATAGTCGCTGCTCAATATAAAAGGATTGTTCGTCGTAATAACAATCAATAGTATTTAAAATATAACTATATATATATATTTAATTATATAGATGGCTGTACATATATATTAATACTATATACACACATACACACGTGCGTGCTCGCGCATATATTCACATACACGCACACACACACACACGCATACATATTATATATTCATATAAATATATATATATATTTTTCCACAATAAATGTTTTCGACAGAATTTACAATTTTTATAGCGTTGTAAGTGTCGTCTTATCTCTAAAACTGAATCATTTATTTACAAAAAAAAAGGATCTAAAAAAAAGAGAGACTTAAATATTAATATATTTCTAGTGGTATTAATTCCCAAAATGAGATATCGAGCGTTTTCTTTTCATTACTTGAGATTCAACGGGATAAGTGTAGGACGTGCGAAAAATTCTAAATGATTCATGCGTATATAAGCACCTACTGGCGTCTATTAAAATGCGTGTTAAGCCATTCTTACAGCAATAGCGTAAAAATAAATAAGGTATTAGGGCTGAACGAGGGAGGTGAACGTGAGTAAGCGTGGTAAAGCCGCGCGCCGGAGGAAAGACAGAGATTGAAGAAAGTAACACGGCAAGCTTCTATTTATAGCTGCGTAATTTGATTGGTCGCACAAATACGACGACACGCGTGTAATCCATGCGCGACTAGGCAGCGATCTCCATTAGCGTGCACATATTTGCTTATTTCTCAGGTCAATCGTCGTACGGCCGGACACTGATACGTATAGTACATACATACATACATGCATGCGAGGGAAAATTGGCTTCATGAATGAACAGCTGATACACGGAAACTTCTTGATCCGCGCGTTCAGCGCGAATACGCGTGTCGCACTGATATTGGAAGAAAAAAAAAAGGGAGAAAATATAGTTCGCGTAAAAATAAAAATATCAAGGTATGACATTTTATTCAATTTTCAATTATCTCTCGCGAATAACGCCGAAGGACGTATTTGTAATTGCGTTGCAACATGCAATTATGCTTCTGTGTACAGAACTCGATCGATGCGTACGTGTAATTGAAAAAAAAAACGTAAAATTAAGCAATTATAGACGATCGACAAATCGCATTTTTGCTCCGCGCACACCTGAGTCGTGCGTATGTATCGCGCGGAATTAAGTTTCTCTCGTTCGCGGCGTGTATAAATAACATCTCCCCAGAATCAACATGTACTAAACTATTCGAGCACGTATAACGACCGCATAATAATCGAGCTCGTTAACGGGGGGAGATTTTGGTTAACGAGCCACGCGAGTTTCACTGATATATTTTATATATATATATATATATATATATATATATATATATATGTACGTATACGTGTCAGTGGCGAGCTTGCTCTCGGAATCCGCGAGGAGCAAAAGTCGATTGGAAGGAAATTCGATTAGAATCTGGTTCTCACTTAAGATCGCCGAGATCGTTTCGCGAACAATGCATGCGCGCCTCGCTGAGAGCTCGCTGCAATAAGAACCTGGTGAACTCCTTCGTTTTGCCGAGAATTTTGCATTTTGTTTTTTTCCTAGCCGCACGTTCGAGATCGCCTGTAAACGATACAATTTTCCACATTGCGACAAAGGCGCAAGCTCGGCTCGCGGAACGATATCACTCTATTATCGCTGTTATCGGGACCTCGCGGTCGAGTCCGGAGCACCTGCTCTCTGCACTGTGTTGCACAAATAATTTCACTGTGAAATTATTTAAATCTAAAAACATAACATAAAATTTGTCCCTCGTATTACTTGCGCTACACTGCAGTCTGCGTTTGAGATGAAAATGGACATATGATTCGAGAGGAGGAAAAAGAGAAAGACGAATGCGCGAGGAAAAAGTTTAGCTATAAAAGTAAATCTTGACAAGCCGAGATATTGTTATCAGATTTGTTTAGTGTGGAATTGCACTTTCTGCACTAGAAGTGATGCAAGCAGAAAGGAGAAAAAAGGAGGAGGAAGAAGGATAACGAGATATTCGGCCACGAAAAAAAAAAAACAAGTCGATTGTCGTATTTATCTAAGCGGGACACGCATAACGGATTATTATTTTTTTTTTTTATCAATCAAGGCTGTATCTCACGCTCGCGACAATTTCATGCATATCAGCCTTCACAGCGATCGCAGCAACCGCGAATTCGTAAAATTGGATTGCGAGACAATCGCCACGTACGGTTCTCGGGAACCGTTAAAAGACCGATATTTCTAACCGACGTCTAGGCGACGATAGAACCGCCGGCCGCGGGGACGCGGAGTTTCAATGTCAAACACGAGCCGGGGAACGTCGTGTGTCGCGCGCGGCATCAGCGCCGGCGAGAAGGAGGACGCGACAGCGCAGCCACACGGTGTGCAATCAATGAGCGCATATTGATCTCAACCTTTCCGCCGGGTGTCCGACACCCACAGAACGGCGGATCGCGCACGAACGTGGCGGCCGCGCGTATCACGCCGGAATCGTCCTCCCGGAGAGGAGGCTCGATCGGCGCGCGCGACGCGACGAGCTCGGCTCGCGAAGGCGAAAAATAAAGCGGCCTCGAAGTCGCGAACGAACGTCGCGCGATCGAAAGAGCGAGACAATCTTCACGCGTTTCTCCCCCGCCTCCTTCTCGCTCCTTCTCATCTCGGGGCTCCCGCGACGATTGAGGCCGACGAAAATTTCCGACGTGCCGCCGCGCGTCCGCACACGGGGAAGTCACGCGGAGCTTGCGTCTCGAGCACATCGAGAGACGGGATATCGGTTTCGCTCGTGGATGCTTTTACCTGGAAACGACGCGCGATGTAAAACGCGATAAGCGATTGCGGCCTCTAATTCAATATATATGCATATATTGATAGAAATTTGAGAGAATTCGAGTTGCCTGCGTCAGTATATCTTTCATGGCTCTTACATTATTTTTCTTGACACAAATCCATGAAAGGAAATTTTCATTGCGTGATATTTGCAGTAAAATCCTTATTAGACGAACTAAATTTAGAATTGAAATGAGAGACAGGCAGTTAACTTGCGTATATAACGAACAATAAAATTATTCTAATTTTGTGACTCTAATTTTAAGTTTCTATAATTTCAAGTTAACTTCTAATTTTAAATCCAACCACACGATCGCATTCGTTGCCGGTAATTTTAGAACTCCGATCGCTTCGTCGACAATGCACTCGAATATTATACCTACGTGGGATTTGAATATGAAATTCGAAATTAGATTCGCCTCGAGGTTCTGATCGTAAAAATACTCAGGCGATTTATCTAGGAGATGCAACCATGCTGCATACTTTTCACAACATATTAATATACGAATATTGTATAATTAAATTATAACAGCTGATGCTGTGCACAAGATTTGTAATTCTGGGCAGCAATCACGCATATAATTGTCTACGTTTTTCTTAATGAAAGTAGAAAAGGGAAAGCAAATAGGTGACTGTCAATAACACATCAAGTCAATGTCCACGTCAATTGCAAATCTTGGAGTATTCCAGAAAAAATATAATAATATTGACAATATATTTTTATCAATTATTTAACATTCATTTTTAGAAACGGCCATAAAGACAGCCGTAAATCTTCCGTTAATTGGCCTAGTAATAGCGATTCTTGTAGATTTTCATTAAGAGATGGGTTGTCAGGTATTTGTGGGAAATCTCGAAATCGCAAATTATATATACAGGGTGTCTCAGAATAGGTGTATGACCGCTCATGGGTAGATAGAATGGACTAAACTGAATCGAAAAGTCCTGTACCATTTTGCAAAATTCGCAATATTTAACGAGATATTAATTTTTGAATATCGCCGAATGAGCGAGTATTCGTTCGGCGAGTCCGGCCCACCGCCAATACTAGCGCGCGACCGTCCATCGAGCGCGGTTGCCTAGCGCGAGACGCGGTGAGCGGGGAAGAGCGGGGAATTGTTTACAGCGAAAATGGCTGTGCGTTCGAATGGCTCATGGACGATCGCGCGCTAGTATTGGCGGTGGGCCGGACTCGACGAACAGATACTCGCTCATTCGGCGATATTAAAAAATTAATATCTCATTAAATATTGCGAATTTTGCAAAATGGTAGAGGACTTTTCGATTCAGTTTAGTCCATTCTATCTACCCATGAGCGGTCATACACCTATTCTGAGACACCCTGTATATCTCTCGTGGTCAGCGCGACGCTACACACGCTACGTAGCGGCCATGTTTGAATGCGCCGAAGTGTGGCGCGCTTCGCCGACGGTTTGACGCGACGGCCGACAGGTGGCGCACGGTGGTCTGCGCCGAACGCCCGGATTGGCCGCTTCGAAAGTAGTGCCAGACATGTGTCTCGTTTCCCGCCTCCGGTGCGGCTTGTGTTGTGTTGCGTGTGGAGCAGCGGGAGGGGGGCAGAGGGGAAGGGGGGCTGGCGGGCGACGGAGGGGGAACGGAGAAGCGGAGAAGAGAGAGAGAGGAGAGGAGAGGAGAGGACACCGCCACACAAGTCCGGCGAGTCGGCGAGCGTAGAGACACGTAGAGACGCGGCGCGTAAGGGCTTGCGGACCGGAATCGAACCGCGGGTGTCGGAAGGTGGGTTTCTCTCGCTCCTGTGCGTCTTTCTAAGCAACGCCACCGGGGAAACGCGCGACGCGCACGCACGTCAAGAGCGGGCACGCAACGCACTGCAGCCGCCGACATCGGGAGGACAGGCATTCGCTCAGCCACAGTCCGCGCACTGCCCGGTTGACCGACCGTGCTGGTTCGGCTGTGTTCGTCCGTCATATTATATTCGCAGCCCCGAGAGAGTGAGAGAGAGCAAGGTTGCTGGCACACACGTAGCTGGTGTTGCGACGCAGCGAGAGGAGGCGGAGGAGGAAGAGGAACGGACGGCCGATACGTACGCGGTACGGAGCGAAGCGACGAAGACGAGCGGATCGGGGACCGACTGCCGGCCATGGAGAAGCGGATAGAGCTCGAGAAGCGGGGAAGAAAGCCCGGCGACGTAAGGCAACCCTCAGATTTTTTTTTCTTTAACCGCGCTGCTCCACCGCCTGCCTCCAATCTTTATCTTCACCGTACTTTCCTCACCCTCCCTCCCGCGCGCGCGCGCGCGCCCGCGTACGCGTCGTATATGTGTGTGTGTGTGTGTCCCTGTTCGATGTGCGGGATACTCCGCGTTTTCGCACGCGCCTCTTTATTACGCGGCGCGGTGGACCAACGTGCGTTTACCGCGTACCCGTGGTGTCGTGATGATGATTTTAATGCGTCCCTCCCCGTCCTCGCCTCGTCATTAACCGTTCATAAAAGCCTTGTGATTTTACGAACCGCACGATCGCATTAAACAGCGGCGTTTATCGTATCCGCGAAGAAGAGAGAGAGAGAGAGAGAGAGAGAGACGGAGAGAGAAAAAAATAGAAGACCGAATCGCCGCGCTGTGTTGCCTCGACGCTTCAAGCGGCGGCGACACAACAACCATGCACACGCTAATGTGGCACGCCGTTCTGGCCGCACTTCCGTCTGTCCCTCTCTTTCTCTCGCTCTTTCTCGTTCGCGTTCCAAGTGAATTTCGTCCCGACGACCGCGTGGCCGTCCCGTCGTCGGTCCCTGTCGGCGACCGGGGGACGGCATATGCACGCACTGAACGATGCATGGCCGCGAACGGGCAACGGGCATGGCGCATCGCGCCGAGGTCCCTCTCACTCTCTCGATGCTTCCATTCGTTCGTTCTATCTCTCTCTCTCTTTCTCTCTCAATCTCTCTCGCGAATAAAAAAAGAAACGTGGCTCGCGTTCCGCGTGCAAGTTTCTAACCGTGTCCCACGGACTGCTCCATTTCTTCTCCCGTCTTCCCTTCCTTCCTTCCTTCCCACCTAATTTGCCTGCGTGCTCCGTCCACGACTACGCTTCATTTCGCTTTGTTGCTCTCGGCGGCGTGTCGAGTCCGACCAGCGCGCGACCGCCAATCGGCCGCCTCCTCGCCCGCGGAAGTGATCTCGCGCGGCGATGATCGGCGTCGCGTCGCGTCGCGCCGCGTCCAAATTTCTCGCGAGACACGCGCGCGCGAGATTGCTCTGCCGAAATAAGCTGGTACCATGGTGAGACCGCGCTCACGTTGCAGCTACATGCGCAACCCGTTACTCCTCACGATCTTCGCGCGCGTTGTATCATATATATATATTATATATAAATATATATATATATAATGTGTGTGTGCACACGGCCGTCTGCCCGCTCTCTTATCGCTGCGACGCGGCGAGAGATTTCGCTTCGCGTTTCGTTACCATTCGTGCGCACGCACGCATACATACCACGCGCGCGCGCGCGCGCGCGTACGGCACACGGAAACTCTTCGAGGAGTTACCATTTTTCCGGTGGCGTGGAAAGCGGGAAGAGGTACACGCGCGTCTCCGACGCGCGCGCGACACACCGGGCCGCTTCGCCCGTGTGATTAATGGTGGATTCTCGCCAACGTCGCCGTTGCCGCGCGCGGCTCCGACTTTACCCGCGGACGATTGATCGAGAGCTTGATTCTCTCCGCCTCCTTTCGGATGATAGCGTTGGCTGTAATATAAATGAAGATGGATTCGTTTCCCTCGCCGGCGCGACTTTGCTTTCGCATTAATGAACCCGCGGCGTACTCGCGCATTCGCGCGATTTAATTTCCAACGATAAACCATATCGACGATTTGTTACGCGAACTGCGCAGAATATATGTACATACCTCGAACAAAATTATAATTTCAGATAAATACGTCGTGTGTGTGCACATATAATATATATATATATATATATATATATATATATATATATTTGTAGCTCTGTATAAAGTCCTTTCGACGTTTACCAACACCTATGTACTTGGTGCACACATATATGCGAACGGGTTGACACCCAAATTCGGGATTGATTCGAGTCTAATTTCTCGCTCGTGACGACGAGCATATTTTGAAATGAACGCGTAAACGTCTTTCGATATCTTTCTCTCCTATACGGAGAAAGAAAAATGTGTTATGGAATTTCCTACGAGAGCACCAGACGTAAAATTGTCGATAATACTTGCGTAAGTGCTAAATTATGCACTCGAACGAATACCAATCGCGGAATGCCTGGCAGAATGACTCACTTCGCTCTATTGTGTGAAAAATCGCTGTCGCCCGAGTTTAATTGTATCACTTATTTCTTCTTGATGCTCGGAAATCAATCTCTGCTTTAGATCGGCACGCCGAATTACGTAACCCGCACTGGCGATACACATGTACATACACACGCACGCACGTATACGTCCGCGATTCAAAATGCGCGAAACGAAAATCGTTGTGACGTCACGGAGGTAGATTAATTAAATTAAGTCAGTCCACGGAATATGGTATATTTTTAGAACAAATTTGTAAAATGGAGTCAATCGTTTGAATATCCCGTCGCGCTTATTCGTGTACACGGAGTGTTAACGGTAACAAAATGTAATTGAGAGACAGGGCGCCGATGTGCGGTGCCATAAATGTGATTAGAGTTAATCAGTGAAATACTTCGATAATGGATTTTCCGCGGATTTCCACCGTGCGGACGAAACGCGTCAAATTCCCCATTAATGGTTACGACTGCGTCCATTAATTAAACGCGACCTCTGTATGCGAAGAACCGATAACAATTGGTCCCCGAATTTTGCAATAGAAAATACGCGCGATATACGCGTCTATTGAAATGTCGAGATGACTTAAAATTTCGGAGTATTTGTCGCTAACTAACTACTGCAGGTCGAATCGATTTGCAAGAAAATCAAGAGTGATTTAAATGTTCCGCGCATCTTTTTCAAGTAAACTGTGAATCGGACTTGCACCATTATTTTCTCCGATGCCTCTTTATGTCGATCATAATTTGTAATTATTGCTTCCTTAGAAATTTTCGCGAACCTTACAATGTCATATATATTTCGAAAAAAATGGAACTTCTAACAATTCTGAACCATGTTTATGCTAAATTTAAGAACGCAAGAATTTTTATTAAATGCACAGATGATATTAAAATAATTCCTTTCTTTTAGATTAAATGTAGATATTTTGTTAATTGGTATTTTTAATGGAACTAAAAATTACAATTATATTGAATTATTTCAAATTAATTTAAACTTTGTTCTATTATTCTATTACATATTTTCGAAGGTTTTCCTCTTTTCTGATATATATATTTTTTATTTTCTATAATTTTACACGTACATTCTACATGTACAAAATGTAATCTTTTACAGCGCGTCTCTTACAAGAGCCTTCTTTTCGAAATACGTCCTTCCCGGCTATAATAATGCAAATGTATGGTACTGTGCACAGTGATAATGATCGTTCCCTTTGGGGATTTTTGCAATTTGCGACATCGATCGATACAAAAAGGCCGAGGACGAGGTGTTGCCTGTGCGAGCATCAAAACGTACATCCCGACTAGAGACTTGCAACATTCTTAATACCAGTGGTCCACGACATATCGAAACCTACTAACGGTGCTTCGTACTTTTGATCAATCCGAAAATATCGAACGCTAGCGTCACCGCGACTTAATACCTATTGACATTTTGTCATCGATGCGTGTTAAAGTGCATAGGACATTCGTTGGCGCGGTGACGATCGGCGATGGCGTAATTCGCGGAGAAAGTTTCTAGTCCTTAAAAAAAAAAAGTCTTGTTCTTTCGTTCGACATCAAGAGGCATGGAGGCTGATAAAATTCAAACAAATAGCACGACCCAAGTAATTCTGTCGCTGAACAGAACCACCTTCTTGGACTTTCCACAGATCGCGTTCTCTCTTTCTCTTTGTCTCCGTCTCTCTCTTCCGCGCGATACGTCACGATTATAGAGATCGTTATGTGATATACGTTTGAAGAATTAACGCGACATATGTTTACTCGATTAATGTATTTTTCAGCATCGAGGCGTCGCCACCGATCTTGATCGCGCGAAAAAGCGCGTTGCGCGCGCGCACACGCCTCGGCTGGCAGCGGCCGCGTTATGTAAATGAAAACGGCGGAGAGAGAAAGAGAGAGAGAGAGAGGCGCGCGCGCGCGCGCACGGGCCGCTCGCCATGAGCGAGGCGCGTGCACGCGGCAACCTGGACGTCGCCATTGCATCGCGCGGCGTGGCGCCGGACGACGCGTCCGGCTACTCCGGCTGCCAACAGCCGCGGGGACCTTCTCCCCGGCATCGCGACGTCAACTCGTCGTCGATCGCGCGTCGCACCTCGTTACCTTCCCACGCGTTGCGACGTGCGTGCGTATGTGCGCGGGCGCGCGCGCGTGCGCACACGCGTGAACACGAATTATGCCGCCGCCGTGCGCACAGCATGTCGTGACGCGCCGCCAATCACCGCGCCCGCCATCTTGGACGAGTCCACTTTGCCGGCTGATTCGGCCGCCGGAGCGGCCGGAGTGGCACGCGCGCGGTCACGGCGAGCGAATTTTTTCGCCGTGGCGGCGCGGCGCAGCGCGACGTAACGTAACGTAACGTAACGTCACATCGCCAAGCCGAATCGAGCTGCCTGCTCAGCCGATGTCAGCCGGCATCGCCCGACTTTCTTCAGGTGCATCGCCGCGTCCATCCACGTCTCTCTCTCTCTCTCTTTCTCTCTCTCTCTCTCTCTCTCTCTCATTCTCTCCCTCCCCGCGTAGGCGTTCGCAGAGCCGTAACTAGGGTGTGGCGGCTCAGGAGAGCGGCTTCAACGCGCGACACAAATTTGTAAATCTATTTCTTCAAAATTGGAAAATATATTTCTCTACCGAACGCTTCGCTCGAAACTTTTTGCAAAAATTTAATAATTTCATCTGCATAAGGGATATACACAGAATCATTAATATTCTAACGCGTAAATTTATGCGCATATCACAAAGCACATGCGTTTCGAAAATATCTAAATTCATGCGTTAAGGTTTTAACTCCTGTATCTGCATATTCCACGCTTAGACGAACCGCACATGGAAAGTTCTACGTAGCTATTTTAAAATGCAAGAACGAAGGCAATCTTATCTTAATATTTCTTTACTGTTATACATCATCGTTCCCAAAATGCATAAGTTAAACAGATGTCGAGTTTACGTTGCTAGTTACAATCGCGAGGAGCTCTTACATATTTACGACTCTGAAACTTCACCCACTCTGCTATGACCACCCGTGTTGCATTTGCAATGCATCTTGTACGCAACAGTGCCGTGCCGTGCGCTCGGGAAGCGCACATGGTTGCGATATTTTCAAAATTGGAAACATTCCGGTCGATTCTTGTGCGGTCGAGGAATGCTCTGCGTTTAAATTTCGATATGTCACATTGCACGAATTTCGAATGAAACGAAATGAAGGATCAGAAGGGTCTAGTCCGCAAGGACTTTTTGTGGCTGAACTACTTATATTTAAAATGAAATAGATAGATATTTGTGAAATTTGACAGAAGCGAGATGAAAAGTTTTAAGGAAGTCCAACGCCAGCCGACAATCAACAGCTGATCTCCGTCGCGGCGACGTTTCGGGGGCGTAGAGACAAAAATACCGTTCTTTCGCGATGATAATCAAATTATACATAGTTGCGTAATCGCGTGATTATCAACTACGCGGCGATTTCACGTTTCGAAACGTCGGCGAATCCGTAGCGACGCAACGTGACGCGTCTTTCCCGGTTCCCCTTAATCCGCGACTGTCATTGATCCGCTCCTATGACACCTCGTGACGTTACCACCGCGATCGGTGCAACACGGGGTGCAACATATAGCCAACCCTGTCGGCCGATTGGTCGCACGGGGTATAACGCAAGGTATCTAGGCGGAGGAGTACGGGATGAAAAAGTTGCGTGTAATTCAACCGAAAACTATAAATCAGGGAATTCCAATGTGCGAAGAAGTGCGTCGTACGCTTATTCGTGAAATTCAATTCTGATTTCGTGAAGGAACTTGCACATAAGGCGCACAGTTTAGCTGAAAAAGATTACGCAATCTATTATCCCCAAAGAAAACAAAATTTATATAAATGAATATTTTTAAGAAAAAGTATAGATGCTTTATATATATGTTATTTACTTGATAAAGATAAATTTTATCTGTTTCTAATTGATAATATAATAGAGATATACAAGATAAAAGCTAATCATTTTTTGAATTACTTAGCCTAAATATATATAATAATGTATACACTAGATAAGAAAAAAGTAAAGTCAAAAAATATTTCTTGATTCAACTATACGCGACAGTCACGGGCTGTCAAACTATTTGTTAATTTAACAAAGCACTTGTTAATTTATAAAAATATGTTTAATGTTGTCGATCTAACTTTCGATTTAACTCAAAAACACGTATAATTAGACTCAAAAAGAACTGTCAATAAAACGCGTTTAGTTGTATCAACAACTATTTTTTTCTCAGCGTAAATAAAAATACTGCACAGTTTCTATTTTCTACGTTTCTATTTATTCCACGTGAGTCAGTCTACGGATTTATCGTTGATCAATGCAAAAAGCGCGACGTATCCATGACACATATCAACGTATCGTTAGAGAAGTAAATGTATACCGAATGTGCAGTCGGGATATCTCAAGTGACTAGGATGTCTTCGAGTTCAACGTTGCTCCTCGCGAGAGAACATCGGCGCAATCGCGATGTAAAAAGACGAGGTGTAAACATCGCGCGTAATGGCGGTTAGCATTACAGCAGATCGATGTGTGAGCAACCCATAGAACTTACAGTACATGGAAGGGGAATGGGAACCGAATAGTGTCAAATGGAAGTGAGAAAGAAAACTATACTCCTCTCTCTCACTCAGTTGATTTTTGAAAATGCGCATGCGCGTCGTTCCCGCTACCTCACTTTTGGGCCAAACAAAAAGGTGCACACGCAGGCCGCGCATGCGTAATTGCGAAAATCAACATCGCAAGAAGGAGAGATATATCGGACGTGGATCTCTCTGTTCAACTTATGGGCAGTCCCCTTCCATGTATGTAAGTTCTATGGAGCAACCAATCAAAAATCTACCCCCGGCGAGTCTAATCCGACGGCGCCAGTAACGCCCGCGGCGGTTGTGTATTCTTTTAAAATTCAAAAGATAAGACTCTCGATCCATTGCGCCGATAGGAACGGCTTGCCGCGCCAGCGGGGCGATGTAACACCTTGCCTCATTACATCATGGATGCAATAATGTGATATGGTGGCATCGATACTTCCGGCATCGAGGCATCCGGTGTATCGATGATGACCACCCCTCTCCACCCCCTCCCCTCTTTCTCTTCCAATCCAACCCTACCTCTCTCGTACTCTCGGCGTCGCGTGCCGCAGTCCGCTCGCTCGTCGCTCGCCGGCTTTTCCGACGCCGCTAAACAAGACGCGGCATGCACTCCGCTTACCGTCACGCCGCTCCGTTTCTCTACTCCCCTCCCTTCCCCTGCCCTCTCACCCTCACCTCCTCGCCGCTCTTCATCTCTCACCCTCACCCGTCCCGGCCGCCCCGCGCCCTCTCCGTCCTCCTATCCGGTCCCGCTCTCTCACCCTCTGGCCTTTCTCTTTCTCCGATCAATAAAATAGCCCATCTCCCGCGAAAGCTTATCGCTCGTTTGAATTTTAGCGGAGGACGACTTTTTCGACCGCGAGCGCCCACCGCCGCGCCGCCGCCGCCGCCGCCCGCCACGGCCGTGTCCGTCCGCGTCCTCCCGCGAGCGTGGAAACGCGCACGATTCCCGTGGTCGCGGCGGCGCGAACCCGAATGCGATATCGGTATACGAAATACGATTTCACGAAATCGATGATCGACGCTCGCTCCGAAACGCGGTCACATCTGGCAGTTCAGAAATATCGCAATGTCTCTGAAATAATATATATACGATTACTATTATTTTCGGTCTTAGCTTTCAGTCTAGTTATAGTTTTTAGAGGGAACACGGTAATATTTGGCATACCCTGCACGCGCGTTTTTATTTTCGGACTTGATATTGATCTAAAAGTCGCATGCAGCATAATAATCTTCTAAGCACACTGCAATTTTAGCTGACATTGCATATGCGCTTCTGATATTTATATAACTTTCTTCGTTCGTTGGCTCGTAAATAATGAGATGACTCGCATGCATGTTACAGATCAAAGAACTTGTTCTTGATAATTGCCGGAGTACGCAAATTGTGGGTCTGACAAATGAATTCAGCGCCCTGGAGTCATTAAGTCTTATCAACGTGGGTCTTACCAGTCTAAAAGGCTTCCCAAAGTTGTCCAGTCTTAAAAAGGTATGCATTTATCTGTTTAACGCAAAATATTAAATTGTTCTTACTAGATATAATATGTAAATATTAATGTGCACGATTTAATCGAAATGATAATAATTATCTTTACCGAACAAACTTCCTTTCGTGTGTCGTAAGTTAGAAACTGTCTTTGTATTGTTGCAGCTGGAGTTAAGCGACAATCGGATTTCGGGCGGTTTAAATCTGCTTGATTCGAGCCCCAAGCTGACTCATCTGAATCTGAGCGGAAACAAGATCAAAGATCTCGATACGTTACAACCTCTCGTAAGTTCTCAACGCTTGTTACGGAAAGCTGAAGTTTACCTATCGCCTCATAAAAAAAAATTGCTAAATGCGAAATCCCCTTCCGTTTTCCAGAAAGAGTTCAAGAACCTGAAGAGTCTGGATCTGTTCAACAATGAAGTGACAAATATGGATAATTACAGGGAGAAGGTCTTCAATCTTATTCCCAGTCTGCGATATCTCGACGGGTACGAAATTATACACTGGGTTTGCTTTGTTACTTTATTTATTTTCTCAAAGCAGCTGATTGTGTTTTATCTGTTTCAAGATATGACGCTGATGATTGCGAGGTTGACAGCGACGGGGAGGATGACGAGGTCAATGGAAATGAAGATGGAGAAGGAGGCGGCAACGAAGACGACAGCGAAGAAGGTTGGTTGAGAGCTTGATCATTGTAATAATTGTAAATAAAAGTTTTATTAAGTTAATTTTATTAAGACGTTCATTATACGATAAAAAGAATTATATAAATGTGCATAAGAATAATGGTGATGAATATACATATTGATATATAGTTTCAGATGAAGAAGACGAGGATTTCCTAGATGACGATCCTGGATTAGATATTGTCTACAAGGAAAAACTCGGGGTGAGTTTAGGTCACTTCACGTTTAAATAAAGTTGAACTTAAAACGCATTTAGCGTTTAGTGGAAAGCACGCTCGATGGAACGTTTATCAAGATCTTTCGCTCATTAGACTTTTATTATTCACAATATAATCGTAAAAATGTGTAGGTGTTATAGGTCGTTTTATATGACACATAAATGATCTAATTACATTTAATGAAATAGTTTAAAAATAAATGTATATCGGGGTATAGGATAGCGATGAGGAGGATTATATGGGAGAGGAAGAAGAGGAAGATGACGACGAGGATAATGAGGATGATGAGCAAGAAGAAGAGGAAGGTATGATTTTCAAAAATTATTTTTATAGTCTATTTTTATCTAAAATTTTGAAATTTCGTAATAACTTAAACAAGACATAAATAGTATAATATCAGAATTATTTTAACGAAATGTATATTTGTTTCCCTGACAGCGCACAAATTACTCAAGGTTTCTGCAACGTCCCAGATAGGTTGCAGTAATGCCAAAATGTCCGCTTAGGTTACAATTGTAATCCTTGTGCATTTTATGTTACAAATTTAATCTAAGCTGACATTTTGACATTACTGCAGTCTATCTGGGACGTTGTAGAAACCTTGCGCAATTGTGTGCTATCAGGATTATTTATTCGCTTATCGCATTGTAAATTAATTTCTTGGTACAATTGAATCGATTATATTCTGTGCAGAGGAGTCTCCTGTTCGAGGAAAGAAAAGAAAAATTGACGAAGTGGGAGAGAACTTGAACGCTTAAGATGGAGGGCTGTCTCTGATACTGTTGAATGAGTGTAAAATTCATATAAATAATAACAATAATTGCGACGCCGAGTGAACAGCTGGGAATCAAACTAATCGACCGACCAATGACAGACTACAGTTAGTGATATGAATTTATCAGTAAATCATTGACTTGGCGGGGAAATTGTCTGTGTAACAACAAAAGATTTATCGTACGATAGAAGATTTGGAATGCAAATGGTAGGCGTGAGGAAAACTGGAAAGGATAATGGCATAAAAATAGGGCTGCATTCCAGCTGGACACAGCACAGTTTTAGTTATACTAACGATATTTTATATAGAGTATATAGAGTTAGAGAGTATTAGTGGTGTTGCATAGAATGGAAGGAAGATCGAGGAGAGAAAGCTTGAGAGAAAGAAAGAAAGAAAGAGGGCGAGAGTGAGAGCGCGAGAGGGAGAGAGAGAATGCGCGTGTGTGTGTATGCGCGTGCGAAAGAGACGGAAATAGATTGCGGGAGGTAGCGGAGTTTTACACTTGAAGGAGCATCTTGTCTGTTAGCTCCAGTCGGCCAAAGGCTGGTCACGCTGGAATGCGGTCATCGTTAATCAGTAATAAGGTTACATAAGTTACATTTTAAATACATTATTATTGTACCGTGAAATAAGTATAGAGTAAATGAGGAACAACTTTTGTACAGGTTTACACCATACATCGAGGTGCATTATATGCCTCTGTGATTTTTGGGACAGAAAATAAAGAGAGAGAAATATATGTTACTCGTATACGTGAGCGTATATATCCGACGAGGACGGGGGATGAAGTACGTTAAAGCAAAAAAATACAAAAAAAAATATGATACAGGACGGTCGCTGTGAATGAAATAGCGAATTGTGTGCGCGTTTCCCGCGCGGAACGTTCTGCACTACGGTGATGTCCGATATCAACGAGAGATGGATAGCGAATAGAAAATATCGTAATATTTATATTATTGTTTTTCAATCGCGTGATTCCGATGACAGGCAGAGAGCGAGAGTTAGGCCGTTTATATATTCAGATATACGTGGGACACACGAAAATTCTCCGATACACCTCGATCGACGGACGTTGTCGAGCGTTGCACGTAAACGCGCGGACCCGGTGTTATCCTAACTTAGACTTTTTTCTAGTAAGCTTTAAGTTCCAGATATTCTATGTACAACGGCGATCGGCCGCCCGGCGCATGGCTGTTAGGATTATTGTTATTTACTCTCGGGCATTGCGGTAAATGTTGTGCTCTAATATAACGTAAAAGAAGATCAATTTGATTATTACGATTTACGATATGTTCCCACTTTCGAAGATAATTGTACAGTTATATAACTCGAATTTTTTCTTTTTTTTTATATATATATGTATATAAGGCATATCACGGATTTATCGTATTTTCTTCTCTTTTATATATTCTATTGTACAGAATATATATTCTATAAATATGAGGCTAATACTTTTTTAACAGAACAAAATTTAAAAAAAAGAGAAAAAGAAACGGAAAAGTATGAAAAAGTGTTTTAAGCAAAAGTTTCTTTTTAATATCATATAACTTCAGGTATTTGACACTGAAAAATTGAAGAGCCGTGACGAATGAGTTTCCATCAAGATGAAAAAGAAAAATGAAATAGCATTTATTATTTTTAATTGAAAGAAGATACGGTAATTCTCTCTAGGACATCCTGTATATGCCAAAGCATAAAGAATAAATTATGATTGATTGATAATGTGATTGATTTCTGTTACATAACATTATGTAATCTGCAGTAGGCCTCAATCTTTGGAACGAATTACTAAGGAAAACAAAAAGTCAACATCGTGTGCGTCGAACGATTAAAAGCCTTTAATTTCTGTCTCTGAAGTTACCATTGCGCTGATACATTTCGTGATGAATAATGAAGTGCGAAGTTTTAGAGGTAATGGAGATTCATCAATATATTATGATTAACATTAAATTACGAGTATGATTTTAAGAAACAAAATATTTACACTTGCGCTTTCGCACTTTTGAATTGTAACTAAAGTCAGAAACGCAAAATTAGATTTAGGGACAAGAACAAGAAGAGAAAAAAAAAGAAAATGTGAAAAAGACACATTTGAGACGAGACAGGCGCAAGATAAAAGGGACTCGCAGGATGGATCAGACGATGTAGTTAATAGTGAGATTGTGACGAGTAGATTGGGACAGGGACAACCAATTAACTACGTAATCGTGTGAGAATGGATGGAAGTATAGTGGCGAGCGAGAGAATTTGCGAAGAGAGAGAGAGAGCGAGAGAGAGAGAAAGAGAGAGAGGATCGGTTTTATAAGAAATAAAAGAATAAAAAAAATAATTATGGTAGTATCGAGAGGACCTGGCGCCTCCTTGTCGCCAGTTTGGTTATGGCCTTATCCAATTTTTCCAAGACTAAAAGCAAATTTATATTAGGTACAATGAGTATATGTGAACATGTACAGGTCCAAATCTGTAAATTTCCAATCTGCAATTTGTAATTGCGGCTCGCGCGGAAGCGTTTATTAAGCGTTAAATTATAAATATAATTAAGAATTTAAATTATAAATAACTGATAAAAAAAACACATTCCGCGCGCTCCGCGAAACACGTGTAAAACACACACACAATCATACATACACGTATTCACACAGCCACACAAATACACGTAACACACTTTTGTCAATTGCGATTTTGGATAGACCATTTAAGTAAGGGGAAAAAAGGAAAAAAAATTTGTCTATCACCTTCTATTTACCAGATATATTACATCTGTGTACTGTCTGTCTGTTCCGTTGTTAAAATGGACTTTTATCATAACGTTTGTTTATTTCGAGCAATCCTCATCACACAAAATAAGAAAAGATAATTTATTAATAAAACTATTTACAAATCAACGAGGGTGTATCCGATATTGACAAGTGAAACCTAGCTTTTTGCACTTGTTTTTTTTTGTGCTTTCGGCGTTATTAATACGAATGTTTTTATTTTTAATTTTTTTTTTCATTCTCGCTTATAAGTTATCTTTAGATTTTTTTTTTTTCAGGAAGTATCTTTTATATACATATTTATTCCAACTCGCCGATCATCTTATCTACGAGCTTCAGTCTCGCGGTATCACAATCGGATATATATATGTAGATATAAGTAAAAGTATAATATAACTGGAGATAACGATATTTTAAGGAAAAATATTTCGTAATTGTTCTGTAATTTGTTTCCAATTATAACTATATAATTCATTGATTCTGAATCTGACAATGTATATCCTATAAAGTACGTACAACATAGATTTTCTCGCGTAGACTTATTATTTCTTGTTACATTCCTTGAAACATAGAAATCTAGATCAAACAATTTCCCGTTTCTTCTTATCTCTAATTTATCTCTCGTTTTGCAGATACACGAGCATCCGTCTGGACGTACGGCGCTAATTACAATCCGGATGCAAAAAAACTTTTAACGAATTGCCGATCAAACTATTCGAATAATTCGAAATACAGATACCGGAGCTTCAAATTCAAGGGCAAAGCCAATCGATCGTTCAAAATAGATCAGAAAATGCGCGAGGGAAAATGATATTTGTTGCCGAATATTCAAAAGGCAGCATATATGTACGTTTGTTATATTTTACATAAGAAGTTAGATCTGTTAGTCAGAGGTGAATACACCTCAAAGAGATTGCCGGCTCGAGATCTTCGGATCCGAGCATGGAATTTGCCAATCGCGACGAAAAGATTTCAAATTCGTGCAGGTTGGAACGTGTCCACGAACATGGCCGTCGCGCGCCGGATGGCCGCCGCGACGGCGCCTGCGCGACGGTCGGCGCGCACCAGCCAATATGGCCGCCGGCGGCGCACGGTGTGTTCGTCGCCGCTCGCCGCTCCACTTCTTCGCGCCTCGGTACGAGTGTGTCGGTCTCGCGAGTCGGTGCGCCGCTGCCAGCTGCCTCCCTCCTGCGTGCAAAGTCTGCGGAGCCGCCGTCGCGTCAAGTTGAGAGAGAGTTTTTTTTAAGTGCTTCACCTTTCCTGCCTCCCCGGGACTCCGGCGCTCCGCGACCGACGCTACGGGAACATCATGGCTGAGAGCAAGGGCGCGTTAATCGCCAAGACAGTGCAAAAACACGCGGGCAGGGCGAAAGAGAAGGTAAGTCATTCACGTCTCTCTGTGTGTCTCTCTTTCTCGCGTGTTCCTTCTGCTCCTCTCGTTCTCTTTTTTTTTTTTTTTATTTTAAAGTCGCTCTCCCTTCAAGCATTCGCGCTCGCGGGTGACTCTCGACTTGGCGCTCGTCCTCGCGCGAGAAATTAACGCGAGAACCTCCGCGAGTGGCCGGAGTTGACCATAACCTCTGTGACGTGTCTCTCGCGGCTAGACGCCGCGCCGCGATGCTCCGCCAACGTCGGGGTTAACGCTTCGCGTCACCGCCGCGTGACAATTGCACCGCGGCCACGCAATTAAATCCCGTTTCGGCCTCTCGTTCGAATTAGGCGATCACTGTCACGGAAAGATCGCGATAGAGAACCGTGATTCGCCCCTTCTCCCCTCCCTGCTGATATATAAGTTGGTATATGTGTTGTGTTATATGAAAAAACTCGTGCGATCTGCGTGGGAGATAAGAGGAGCGTACGTCAATCTGCACAATCGCGTTTTGTTTCGCTCTCGACTCGTGATACGGAAATGTGCTTGCGCGAGGTTCTTCGACGGGACACGTCAATCGGACAATTCTGTCGTTTGCATAGAATCGCACGCGACGCTGCTGCAATATTGATGAGCGATCTTAATAAAAATCGCTCGTCAATATTGCAAAGCCCCGATCGAAGGACGACGAAGAAAGCGAGAGCGACGAGATTTCGTACCGGAGCGAGTTTCGGTTTAAGGAGAAAAGAAACGGCAAAAAAAAACGATGACCTCCCAGCGAATTTCTCGGGCGACGAATGTTTCCGTGGACGGATAGCGGAGCAAAACATGTATTTTTTATGTTCCTCGATGTGCGTCGCGCTTCTTCACCGGCGCCTCGCAATGTCGCGCGAGGCTTACTTACGTAATCAGGTAAACACATTCGCAGTAACTCTGCTATAGCGGCATCGTTCGAAACGATAATTACGCGTCTCCCACACCGGGGGAAGGGGGGGGAGGGTTCGCCCCCGACCGGCGTCGGAAACGGTGCACAGGTGCATCCCGACGTGACTGCACGTCAGTGCGTCTCGATTTATCAGCGGCGATCGCGCAGTTTTTCGCGCTCACGGAGCGCACGATTCTTGCACGTCGCATGACCTACGACTTTGTTTTTTGTTTGTTTGTTAAAAGACCGCCGCTTCAAGGTGCCACGTGTATCCACTGAGTAATGCTTTAGGCGATTGATCCTTGAAGCTTCATATCCGGGAAATGCCTCACTCCGCATTAATATCTCGGATATTGTCACTTAAACGGGAGTTAAAGTCGAGCGAAAGCAAATATCTTTCTGCATGAATCTTTTTTGATCCTTGAAGCCCTTAGGCCCGCCTTAGACGATCCACAGTTTTGGATTTCATGATAGAATTCCATTTATATAATGTTATATGCGATGCATTTTGGCAGCGGATGCGTGCATGTGTTTCAATATACTTTACATGTGTATGTAATTGTGGTTTTTTAAAAAATGTCTCCTATATACACGATAAATATACAAATGTATATAAAATAAAATAGATAGAATTTCATCTTGAATTTCAACGCGAATTATATAGGCTACCTAAAGTTAGTTTTGATGCAATCGTCGATATCCTGCGGTTAAAATAGTCTTCTATTTTTCACGGTTCCGGAGCATCTTCTACAATAATCTCGGAATTTAAGCCACAATATATTTTCCTGCGTAGAAAATATGTCAATCATATCATAAGAAGGAAGAGGGAGGGAGAGAGAGAGAGAGACAGAAAATAAATTATTGTCTCATAAATTAAAGGTAAAGTGATAGATGTCTTTGTAATCCTCGATAATTTTCCTTCAATCTCCACGTCATAGAACGACGGTCGGTTGCCCTTGATCCCAAGTGAAGCTGATATGACAGCTATTAGATATATAGGATAGGACGGTTACTATTATATGCCGGGTCTGTGCGCGACGAGTAGATCGGCCGCGATTAAATATAAATGCACGCGCATTTACAGCGAAACGAAACGAATCCGACAATCTCACGAGTCACTCAAGATGAGACGCGTTATTTACATGTTTCACTTTTGACGATTCATTCACGCGGACAGGCGGGGAATCTGCTGCCTTTTTTTTTCATTCCTTCCGCGCGAGTCGTTCAACGATCGTATTTGTGGAAACGTCGTCTGTGGTCTATGCGATCCACTTTTCACTGCGGACGATGCATTCGTAACGAATCGTTTAACGCGGAGAAAAGTCCGAGGATTTCTCTACTTTTTTTTCTCTCGTATTCAATCATTTCTGTTATATTGTCTATGCGCCGAACACTCTTTTATTTCTGACTATTCATCGCGATCATTCCGCAACAGCTGTTCCAAAGTTTTTCTCCGCGCTGATTAACTTCCATTTGAAGATTAAATTTCTTATGTGTCAAAACATGATACGCGAACATGTATTTAAACACGTTTTTATTTTATATTTTTATATTTTTTTGATGTAAAAATTTTATAAATCTGTAATTCGTAATCTTATTTAAAAAAAAAAGAAGTCCATCCATTTCTAAAAATTGTATTCAAGCATCCTGAAATACATTCCTACATTTGTCAAATTAACGCATTTTAACAGGAATTCCTTGGAAATAAGGGGCACGATTTGCAGTCTGGGGACCGCCGATACTGTGGCTACGGAAATTTGCGTATATGCGAGAGACTTCTTCAAGGTGCATTATAGATCGCGCGCATACTCGCGATGATGACACGTCGGTGTGTATTGCCACTTCCGCAGTTCGCCGGCAACCTGTGCGTCTCCTCGGCCGCGCTCGGGGACCATTGATGCATCGCGCGGGCATTGCATAAGCGCGGCTCCAGCGTGTCACGCAATTCGCGTGTGCGCGCGCCATCGGTGCCGGACTTCTCGGTACGGAATAACAAACGCGTCCGCAATTTTTTTTGTCTCTCACGCCTTTAAAATCGTAGACTTCCCGTTTGTTTTACCACGATGAGCGGAAAAGGAATATATCTTAGCATAAGTAAATATAACGAACTAGATAGCTTGTGCGCAATTTTGCGGGACAAGCGCTATAATACGTGTTCGGCCGAGAAACCCGTTTTATTTTCGATGAGAAAATAATTTGTCGTTGCGAAACGCAAATCGATAAAACGGCTGTAATGGCTGTCGATTTTTTAATCTAATCTTTAGCAACATTTTCCTGCAAATAATAGTTAATTCGTATTCCGAACCGGACACGATCGGGAGGAAAGAAAGAGAACTACCTCGACCTATCTGGTAGAACCGGTCTAAAGGTAGTTTTAGCTAAGGCTGTTATTCTCCTGCCTAAATCGAGACGGGGCTTGGACCAAGATGAAGACTGGAGAGCGCACGAATTTTTATTTTTTTACCTTTGTATTATTTTTGTTTTACACACAAAAACACGATGAAGGATAAATTCTTTCCAGCGTTCCACGACATTGTTTCGCCTAATCTTATTTTGACATAGTAATTAGTGTATTATCAGTTTTCAAATTTATAGCGTAAAAATATAGATGATAAGGGGCGTTAACTGTGTTGATAATGGCCTTATCAGTTTGAGAATGACTAAAAGCAATAGCCAGTATATCTTTCGAAACCACACAGAGACACGAAAGCGTTTACACAGTATTTATAGCACGCGGGCGAAGAGAGAATAACACGTACAGAAGAACACGTTTGTTCGGCAACTTTTTAGCACGACGTATTAAACGATCCAACGATAACTGCGTTACGGTTGCGCAAATTCGCGGGATTGTTATCGCGCGCCTCTAATTAAATCGATTTTAACAATGTGGCGCATATCTCTCATTCTTTCCTCGGCCATTTCCAGGATTTCTTCAACAATCTTAATGAATTATCTCCCGAACGGAGAATGATCGTTCATCATAACGTATAAAGGATAATCGGATAGGAGCGATCGTAGAGCCGTTTTATAACGGCGGACTCGCATGTTCGTGAAGCGAATAAACTTATTAGCCCGTTTACACTCCGCCTTCGTAAATTATAATCGTGCCTTACAACTTATACATTAGTCGCGCGTATCTATATTCGATATAAATATCGCTTGATAAAATAGACGTCGGTGTAAAACTTTCTCACGCGTGTAATTTAGCCGTGCCATAGGAATGAAGGGGGGAGGGGGGGATTACGTCGCCGCTGCCAGAAGCAGCGAAAGGATTAAGTGCAGCGCCGGCGAATTTTTTTCGCGGAACCACGCTGTACACGCGCGCATTGCAAAGTAGGAAGAGGTAACACTCGTGGTAGATTCGATCGCACGTATCGCATGCAAAAGGTTCGGCTGATACTCGAGGCGAAGAAAGTCAGTGTGGGCCGGGGATCATTAAGGGGCCTTCACACGACCGGTAATCGTTATCAGCGACTCGTAAATCGACACCAATTACGTAAAATTATTGCCGCTAATATAGGATTTATAACGACAGCGATGTATGTCAAGAAATATGTAATAATGATACCGGCTTTCCTCCTTGATTTTCTTGACTTACTCTCTTGGCTTACTCTACTTACACTGTAATATGCCAATAATTTGCCTCTCTACTATTTAGCAGTCAAATAAATGAATTCGCAGCTCGATTGTGTAGAAAGCGAGGACAGTTTTAACATATAGGACCGCGCATTTGACGCTGAACCTGCGGCGAGAAACACATTAGGCGTGCGTTCTCTCACACCGCAGAAGTGCGAGCTGCGGTGATCGTAGATCGTATTTAGAATTCACGTTTGCAGACCACATAATGAAAAAACGACGCCATCAATAAATATTCTTTCCCTCTCGCTCTTTTCTTGTCTCTGTTGAATACAGAATTTTTTTCGCGACTCGCGACGTTCTCGGAATGCATGACGCATTATAAGGAGAAAATCCGATTTTCCTGAATCCGCATAAAAAATGGAGCAACGTCACCGTCTCGTCAAATCATCTATCATTTCCTGCAACGGTTACACGTCGACTTCCGGATATCTATTTCCGCCAGCGTTCCAACGAGACGCCGGACCGTCGTTCTTATATGGCTGTCGCCGGTCTCTCCGCGAGAAGTCTCTCCCGCGGTCGCGTTCTCTCCTCGCCGTTCCTCCTAGACTCGCTTAGATTTCTAAGTGTGTCCCACCGGCACGACCGAGAGAGACGGCTTACTATTCTCGTCCCCGAGACGCGTTCCCGGACGCCCCGCGACAGTCGGCAAATATATCTACGAGCCCGCGGAGACACCCGCTTTTGAGTTTCGCGTTTCCGTCGCGCCGCCGCGGGCAGCGGCTCTCAAAGCCAGATAAGCCAGAACATTGTACTTTTTAGCACGCAATGCGCAGTCATTTATTACTCTCTGTCTGTGCGATCGAAATTTTTGAACTGGTCGAAATTTTAAATCCGTTGGCCTTTCGTCGATTCTTGGAACGACTCGATTCGCTTTGTAACTTTCAAACTCGTTTGAATTCGTTCGGACCCGAACGAATTTCTGCTAAATGGGCGGATAAATTCCAATATTTATTACTCGTTATTAATTTTACAATTTTTTTGTTTTTGGTTCAGCTTCGATTTGCTATACATATAATTACTTGCAATTTTTGGTGCGCCCAACTACTCTCACTTCTGTTACGTGTAGAAATATAATTTGCGCTTATCTTACTCAAATGATTATATATATCAGGGCATCTATAAGAAATCCCACACCGTCCACATCGCGGTGCGTTACATAGCCGCACGTATATGCATATAATATACATACTTGATAGAAAAATGCAATCTACGCTTACGCGCGGCGATCGCGAATGCGTCTAGATTTTGCCACGTCAGACTGATTAATGATACGAGAAAATTGTAGTCAGCATTATTCGAGAAAGGATTGTAACGTACTTCTGACCTGACGATTTTCTTAGAATCGCGG